TGCTGGATAAAATTCGGACACTGCCTTAGCAATGCTATGCAATACCTCCTGCACTGCCACTGCCACAAGTCCACCACTCCCCATAATGCCGTCAATATTATAGGCCACTACTTACTTTTTTCAGTCCACTGCCGAAATTTTGTACACCAATGCCGGCTGTGAATTTCCCCTCGAAGAACCCCCAGGCGCGAAAATCTAAGCATCTCGCAAGTTGTTTGTTCCGCGAATGGCGAACACATGCTTCCTCGCATTTTATCTCACCAGTTTCCGTCATTTATTAATATGCCAGCAGGTTTTCCTACGCGCGCATCAACGTCCTTCGCGTCCGTTTCTTTCTGATTATTCTCCACCGACTGATGACGTCTATTTTTATCAATGCAGATTAATGCGATTTTACATACTTCTTATCTTTTTCTAGTTTTGAAAATTAGAAAAAGATAAAAAGTAAGTTAAACTGAGATTAAAGTTAATCTACATTGGTAAAATATGGTAGAATGGATACAACTATCATGAATAAATAGATTCTCGGTTCGGCAAAGCGCCTTAAATACCTTCGAAAACGTAAGTTCTCGTTCTTGAGAGCTCGGCAAAGTACAAAGTTCGAGGTTAACATTTGAAAAAAAAGGCAGAACCTTTATTCCTACGTCTCACTTCCAGAAAGCAGGCGAAACTATGAAATATTTATTAGACGGATAATGAATACCACGGCAGGCGTTAACGGTGGGCTGAGAATTTCTCGGCGGCAAACGTGGGACGCGAACGCGGACGCGTGGCCGATACACCGCTCGCCGGACATCGGAGTCATGTCCACTTCCAATTACTCGCAAGCTTCCGCATTTTTTTTTTCCACAATAAGGATCGTTGAGATCGGATTATTCTCGCGTATACTTATATGCATTGTCGTGCGCACAATGGAGAACAACTTCCGTCGAGACAAATACGTAAGTGATGCTCGACGCAAGGGTATTATCGTGTCGCGTGCGTTTTCTCATTCTGGATTTAATCGCTCGATAAAGTACGTGGCGAGATCCGCCAATTAACGAGAAGGCGCATTCCGATCATTCGGCTCCCGCTTGTAATCAAGCAGTTCCCCCGATCCAAGTCGACTGCATTATCGTAATTTGCAATCCAACGGCGATCGAGGAGGGAAGGGGGAGGGGGAGGGAAGAGGAGAACGGGGGGAGGTCGTCCGACGGTCGCGTGATGCGCGAGCGGCGGCGTCGGCGCCACTTACCGATGACCGTCGATTCCCCATTCAGAAAAATGACGGTATGATGTAATTACCCGCGCGCTCTCTCTCTCTCTCTCTCTCTCTTTTTTTCTTTCTCCCTCGACGCTAACCGTGCCTCGGCGCCTTCCACGGTCGAACTCGCGGTGCCGAGCAGTGTCGAGGCTGCTGAGTCGCGCCATAAACGTGACTCGGCGTGACCCTCCCCGCGTGACCTTCTCAGCGTGACTGGAGCCCTGAGCCTCTCTAGCTGAAGCTAACTTCGACGAGCCGGTGCGATATCGCACGCACCACGCTACGCCGGCCGGCGGTCGCGCGATGGTTGCTCTCGTTGCGGCACTGGCCGATCGATAGCGACAGCCCTCGTCGAAGCGGTCGAAGGGAAGCCGTCGCGATGCACGCGGTGGCGCGTCAACGTACACGCACCTCGCGCACCCGTATGGCACGTTCGATTGTCTCCCGCCCATCGACCTTCCTCCGCCATCAGACCGCGAATTTCGATGGGGAGGAAGAAGAAACGTGGGACTTACCGACGGTTATCGAACGGGGACACGTGTACCGCTTGTGCGCGCGCGCGCGCACACACACATGTGCATTGTGCACGCATGTGCACGCACGTCTATAATAAGAATGCGCGTGCTGAGGCTGATGCCGTGTGCGCACGCAAAACGCGACAGATCAACGCTAGCCGCGAACTTGGCTAGCTTTAGCGCGTCGCGGGGTGAACACGCGACATCCGGAAACTACCGTCTACCAATGCCGCCGCGGGGAGGGGGAGAAGGCACTTGGCGCCGGCGCCCGGCGCCTGAAATCGGCGACGGCAGCGTCTTGCGCACCCCCCCCCCCGTTGCGACGAGTCCGTGAGAATTGTCGATAAGGATATATTTCCGGGTCCGGGGGTCGTCTTTGCGAAAGATCGCCGTCTCTCGATAATCCCGAGTTTCTCTTTCAGATTCATTGATACGTTCCGCCGCTACGTTCACGCTATTGATCGCGTTTCGCGAGACGCCTTCTGCATTCCATTCGTGGAACGCGCAACGGTTCGAATGCGGATTCATAGCAGCGATAAGCGCGCGGTGAGTATCCCTCATTGCGGGTGCCCGCACAATGAAAAAGTTGCGAATACTTAACGTATGTATGTTACGTGCCTGCTTATCGCCACGTTAGTCCACGTGCGCAAACGCGACACGTGTGTCCGCGCTCTATCGCGGTTAACTTCACCGCGTTGCGCGCGTACCGTTTGCGAATCAAATTCGTAGCGTTATCTTGCTTTCTGTAGTTACATGTAGCATATGCGCGTTCGACGAATATATAAGTATATACACTAGTAATATATGTAGACTATATAGACGGCGAATTTCTTTATACACTGGTCGTATATTGTGTCCTAAAAAAATGTATACTACATAATACTATAAAGTGTTATATTGCGCATGCGTCAAATAACGGTACAAAGATAGGTATAGGTGAGAATGTGTAAAGGGTGATCTTATTGGCATATGATCTTATTTGGCGCATGCGCTTTTTAATGTATGTATATACCTACAAGTTTTGTATACATAACAGTTGCGGCTACATAGAAATGGTATATACGTAGAACGGTAATAAAAGTAATAAAAATAACTTTGGTACCCTTTACTTATATGAAATGCAGAGAACAGAAGGTCGATTTTATGTATCTTTAAAAAAGGTAAAAATTATAAAAGTGAACAGATTTCGATCAATAAAATCGTAGATATTCTAATTAAAATTCCTCACTTTTGTAATTTTCGTCTCGTTTCAATATACATAATCGACTCTCAGAGCTGTTACATGGAGAATATTAATTGCACTTTTCTTATCCCCCGTCGCAATAACCAATTCGTAATGAATCTTATCGGATTCCCAGATAGCAAGCTGACGTCATTTGACATTTTGACGTCAAAATGTCGAGGACGTCATTTGATGCGTTTTGACGTCAGTTTGCTGATTTAAACTATATGCCGGCCTTATTATTTTATCGCTGAAGATGGCTTCACGTGGAGCCAAAACGGCCGGTTTTGTAATTTATATATATTTAATTAAAAATCAACGTTTAATGTAATTCACGTTATAATAACTCTCTGCTCCTTTATTTTGTTGAATTTTTTTAAAGCACTCTTATTTATGCGCGCGGCTGAATTTGGCCGCGTTGCGGTCGAAGGTATCGACGTATTATAGCTCCCGAAGTGTTAAGTCAAATGGGGAATTCGATCGAAAGTCACCCTTATCATTAAATATGCACAAGATGCACAACCATCGCGCCGTTTCCGAGGGAGAAACGAGGCGCTATCGGTCGACGAAGTTAGACGTTTACGATACATGATTATATTATACGCGTCCTTCGATGCGCTCTAATTAAATCGACAGGAGATCGCGAAACGTGGGCCAGTTTAATCCCACAAAGAAACGCTTTTATCGATCGCCGTATAGAAAGAATCGCCATAATCGGCTCGTATACGCGTATACATATACCTATATAGATATTGCAATAATTCATTCGTTAAGCAGTTCTCATTTAAGCAGTTTGGTCTATTCGCTCGCGATAGTTCGTATGTACTCTCTAAATCTGAATCAATGACTATTCACTGACTCAGCAGTACTATTCACTGATTCAGATTAAGAGCCACCGCACAAAACTCTCGTATGGTCACGTAGCGTAACGTAACATGAATCAACGCATAAGAAACGTATCGGTTAGAGCCCCCGCACAAGCTCTCGCATGGTAACGTAAGTGCTGGTCTACAACCTTGCTTTAAAGGATATTTAAGCTTTAAGCCGTAAGAAATTGACCAAACACAATAGAATGTAAGGAGAATACTCGATTGTGATTGGTCAATTTCTTACGGCTTAGAGCTTAAATATTCTTTAAAAGCAAGGTTGTAGACCAGCACTAACGTAGATCAACGCACAACGCACGTTTCTTGTGCGTTGGCTCACACGTTATGTTATACGCTACGTGACCATACGAGATGAGTCTTGTGCGGTGGCTCTTAGAGAGTATGTACAAACGATTGGCCCCTCTATTTGATCTTGTTCAAATTTGATGCGCTGTAAAGTTTGCGCTGCGGCGTATAACGACGCCGATAAATTTTCTCGCGCGACGGAACGAAAAGCAAGCAACGATTGTGCGTCTGACGGATTAACAGAAACGGGACGAGAGTGGAATAATACTAAAAGACTCCGATTATATAAACAATAAAATTGATTGCGAGAGGTCAATTCAAAGATCGATCGGGATGTTGAATGGAATGTCGCCGCCCCGGCAAAAAAAAACAATTGTTAACTGCATGTCGGGGACACGCTCGAAATGCATGCTTCGCATCTAAACATTCGCACATCGTCACCGTTTAATAATTTAATAATCATTAATGCCTAATAATAATAATAATACAATATAAGTGTAAAATGACACACATAAAATATAATAATATAATATATTATAATTTAATAATTCATTTCTTTAATAATAATTATGATGCAATAAAACAACGCTATTATTTTATTATATCTCGTTGGGAATGAATTATTGTTAACATTTTGTTCGAAATTCTAGCCGTCAATCACGACGCGCGGATATTTAGATGCGAAACACGCGTCGCGAAAATGCTCCGATTATACGCGCGCAACTTCATGCGTGAGGCATAAAATTTATGCAATATCATTTAATGATTCCGTATGCGACGATTGCGACGGAGTGTGCCGCAAGGGCATGATCGTCTCGAGATCGACGTCCCGCTTTAATCGGCGATACCTGTGGTCCTCTCGAGCTCTCCAAGTCCCAGACGACGATCTCTGAAAAAGCGGCGAAGACGCCGCCAATGTCGCCGGCGATTGCGTATAGGCCGCCGCTCGATTGCGAAATAAACGCTTTCAATAAGCGTTTCTAACGGCGCGGCGTGCCGTGATCGCGTTTATATCGTTAGACGGGGTCCCTCTCGGGGCCGGCGGGTTTATCGGCGAGAAGCGAATCCTGATGCAACAAACATACACTTATCGACTCGACCGGCACTTTTTTCGTTCGAGAGACAGTAAAAAAGAAAAAAAAACCCGCGATAGCGAGGGCTATCTGTGTCATCAGGGAATCGGGAGGGAGAGAGGGACGAGAGATTCTCTCGAAACGCGCGACGTCATCAGGGTCTGTTGAAAGGGGGGAGGAGGGGCGGTCATTATTTCAAAAATTATAACGATCGCGGAGGCACGCGCGGGCACCGTGGTCGTAAAAGCGGATCAGCGCCGATTCGCGGAACGCTCGGAGTTTCCGGCTTGACTGCCCGGTCCGCCCGCTCCGCAATTTCCAGCTCGGTATACGTGTGCCACGTATGTACGCGTGGAAGAATATCTATTATCGCCAAGGACGCGTACCCCGTTCGGGCACTCGTAATTCGGTGTCGTACGATTCGCGTATCGCCGCGCTCGCCCGATCGGTGCGTGAAGTATAGTATAGGATCGGCCGGCCGTCCGTCCAGCCGATTAATTGTTCCCCTCCCCCTCTCCTCCTGAAAATGCACCCCTGACATTTCGCTATCGCGTCGATAGTCGATACATTCGTCTATTTCGCCCGCAGTGGCAGGAAGCGTCGACGAAAGCTCGCAAATGACCACGATTGGCGCGATTGCGATTCGCAAGTCGTCGATGAGCCACCTTCGCGGCTACGGTCTGAAGTGCGCTCCAGACTCCAGCAGACGGAGCGCTCTAACGTTCGTCGCAATTCGCGAGACGATCGCTCGCGACTGTGCGGCAATTAAATCTCATTCGCAACGTTTGAAGCCGCGCTTCCGGCAACATTCCGTACTCGTCGTTCGAGAGGGTTATCGCCGCCCAAACTTCTCTCTCTTTCTCTCTCGGGGAACCAAACGATCTTCGCCGCGGATCGCAGGCAGGAATCAGTCTCGGAGGCGGGATATCGATTCTCGCCGAACAGTCCCGAGCGCGGCCGAGCGTTCGTGAAAACTGACAAGTGACGTGCGCGAGTAGTTGCACACGAGCGGCCGCGAGCCACCGCGAGCTGGGTGAGTTTGACGGCGGTCAGTGGTGGTCATCTCGTCGCGGATCGGCTCGCCTCGCTCTCCCCTCGATCGCGACCCGATCGCGCCGAGCTGAGAGAGGCACACACACAGCGACACAGCTCCTCGCGATCCAGATTCTCCCGTCCCTCTTTCCCTCCCGCGCGGGGCGGGAAGATCGATTTCGCCGTTGTTCGATTCGGCACGCGCGCACGCGGCAGAGTATACGGACGCCGCGATTGACAGTTGGATTAACGCGAGGACGGGCAGGCAGGTGGATTGACACCATCGACACCCAGGTAGAGAGACGACCCGGCACGGCGGGGTCGTAGGTCGCGCGATGAGGGGCGTTGATGGCGAACGACCGACACAACGGTGGGCGGTGCGCGATTAGCGATTTCGCATTTCGCGACGTGGAAATGGGCCACGCACGCGGATCTCGTTGATTCGGCGAGCGCCCTTCGCATGTCCGCGATAAAGATCACCTATTTTTTTTCTTTCGACGTGCGCGGTCCAGCGTTCGATATTTCGGACAATCCTCCGCCGTTGTGCCGAGATTGTTGCCCCGATCGCGAGTAGAAATCGCGCAACTCGATCCCTGATCGGCTGTCTTTGTTTCCCCCTTGACTCGATTTCTTCGTTAGCAGATAAATCCCGTCGCGCGAGGTCGTCGAGGTGAGGATCGATCACCGTGACCTAACCTAAGCTAACCTTGGCGTGAACTATCGCCGCCAAACCGCTCGATCGCGAGAGACGCGAGGTTCTAACGTGATACGTGATACCGCCTCGAGTGATACCGCTACCGAAGAAGCGAACAGCGATCCCCCTACAAAAAATGGTCACCCCCCAGACACCAGGTGAATTCTCGCTTATTATTCCCCGCTGTCAGTCGTCTATTAACTATTTTGCGCGTCTATTAATATCAGTTTGTTATCGCTTATGTCATCTGTAATACACGTTATCACGCTCGATATTTCTTATATTGAGACAGATAATTTATCTTGTAACATTGGCAACTTCTATCAGTATAGACAGACTTGGACAAGAGCTATACGTGGTGCTTTCGCAAATGAATGATTTTATTACAAATTACGGCCCGCTTGTTCTAAATATTGTGTTTGATGCACAGGTATGGATCCCTGGGTGATCCAGCCTAGAGAAAGAATGAGATACCAGGAACAATTTGAGTCGTTAAAGCCAATCAATGGAATTGTTACTGGCGAACAAGCGAAAGGTTTCCTTCTCAGATCTCAACTCCCACCTGCCATTCTTGGACAGATATGGTAAAGATACTACTTAAGGATGCTGTTTATTGTCCCAAACCTTTATAAGGCTTTCCTAATTCTTTCCTAATCTTTTTGTACATTACAGGGCATTATCGGATACAGACGCAGATGGGAAGATGGATGTAAATGAGTTCAGTATCGCGTGCAAGTTGATCAATTTGAAACTGCGTGGCTTCGAAATCCCCAAAGTACTGCCACCCGTTCTTATACAGAGTTTAAAGTCTTTCTCAATCGGTAGGTGAATAGAATAGTTTTGTGCGGGAAACATGAAGTTACATCACGAGACATTTTAGGCGACGCTAGTCTGACTGGATTGTCAAATGGTTCCACCGCTCCAAGTAACGTTAGCTCTCTAGTAAATTTAAGCGGACATCAACCGATGGTATCTCAACCTATGGCAAGCGCGATACCCACGGCTGGAAACACCCTTATAGGTATATATCATTAAACGTTGATTCATTTTCGTGTTATTCACTCTCCTCTACCTCTCGATCAATGATTGTCAGCTAGATGCTTGTGTGATATCTCATGAACTAACAGAAAGAAGATCTCGATTTATAAGAGACTTGTAAGAGCGTCTATAAGCACCCAGAGGTACATTCTCCTCTTTCTCACTCAGATATTCGTCGCTTATTAGATTCATTCAGATGTATCAAACATAAATACAGTACCACTAATATCCAACATATATTGTTACAATATCATGTCTGTCAGCCCTATCTGTCATTTTCATGAATTAAATTGGATATATCGCTGTTATTTTGGCCATGAAACATTAATTATCAAACATAATTTATCTGTGTGTTATTCATAATTCATCATACTACACAGCATTACAACAAAATAGACAGAATGTGGCTCCAAGCACACATGCCACAACTCATATACCGTCTAAGCCACCCGCTCGACCCGCGCCACCTTCTGTGGGTATGTTAATCATACTGAATGTTTTGTGTTTTATGAGCCAGTTTGTTTTCTTTTTCCTGAAGCAAGCTTCTCTTCGATCGCTTGACAGTGTTCTTAGTTTAAAACATTTTCAAACCATTTTATTCCTCAACATTGTTACGTTAATAATATAATGTAAAGCAAACTCCTTCTCTCGCTGTGTATGTATGTACACTACACTTTAAATATATTACGTAATTTTGGAATGTCTATAAATATGTCTGACATAGCTTTATTTATAATATTATTTTATGAGATAATTATGATTTCTTTAATATACAAGTAAATGCACAGCTTATACTTTTGATGTTGCTCGTTTCAGAAATTTATGTCGCCGCGAAAGCTTTCAAAAGTACATATTAGTCTTTGCTTAAACTAAAAATTCGTTATCTTTTTAGTACATTTTACTATTTTTTTATTACACGTGTAGGTAGGTGTTGGACTTTGCGATGATAGATTTTTTAGCAAGTATACTTATCATGAAAAAACAAATCCATTTGCATCTTGATTATTGTATAGAATTTTAATATTGTTCAACAAAAAGTCAAACTCGGGATAGTTCTCATGCTTAAACATAGAGATAAAAGCGATGGCATTAACAACTTTGGATGTTATTATGTAAATGGAAAGATCGTGATATTATTCTCTAATCGTAGAATTTAAATTTTTATTTGTCGATGATAACTCTTTAGTTATTATCTACTTGAGGGGTTTACATTTATGTACCGTTTGTGTACTTGTAATTATATTTGCATTTCTTCATTTTCGACAATTATATATTGTTAATAATAAATTTACACTTTACGCGGCAAAAAAAAGGAGTCGCACCTTCCCTTAATACCACGACCGGTGGTCTTCCACAAAGACCTGCACCACCCACAAATATTGGTATGTTTAAATAAACATATGTTACCACAAAACCCAATATGTATTGTTTATGGCTAACACAATTACTAGTAAATCTCATTATATCGCTCGATTAATATTGACATGCTATGAAGAAAGAAAGCATTGGCACAATCCTTTTGCTTGTTCTTGTCTTTTTTTTTTTTTAATATTTGTTATAATTTATCGAACAGAAATAATGAATGTCGCTTGGATTTAAATAATCGGACATTTACACAACTGTTTTCTGACATACATAATAATCACACGGAATTATTTCAGGGAGTAATTTTGTGGTAGCAACGGGTGGCCCACCACCCAAACCAGCACCACCTTCGTTTCCAAATAGTCCTGTTGCGGGAATCTCGCCAATGAAAATTACGACTTCTGTCGTTGGCTCCTCAGTCATTTCTTCGTCCCCATCTATATCTGCCGCTGGAATAGGTAAAAAATAAGAATGCGTTAAAATATAAACATAAGTTACTTAATTTTATATATTTAATAATTTTTAATTAGGTATTCCATCAGTGGCACCAATCGCCCCTTTAAACACAACTCCTATACCAATGGCTGCCTTTAATATGGCACAACCAATGCCGACGCAGCCGTTAGGCATGGTTAGTGCAGGTATGGTTGCTCCTATGACTGGCATTCCTAGTATGGTACCATCCATTGGATCAATAAATACTGGTATATATATGCAAAACAATATCTCGTGATCGTACTTGCATTTATTACAATATTAATTTTCATTATTTTTTTTCCAGGTACTGGAGTTGCTTCTTCAGTACCGTTACCGTTAGTGTCCTCGACAACTGCAAATAGCGCGTTGGTCAATGGCGCAATTACACAAACGCCAGTGTCTACGAATACACCTTTGAGTACAACGGCACGTCCACCAAGTATAGACAGAGTAGGCTCTATGGATTCGCAGCACAGCCAGCATTCGGTTGGCTCTCCGCAGTCTACGGAATGGGCGGTGCCGCATCAGACTAAATTAAAGTATACTCAATTATTTAATACTTGGGACAGAACGAGATCGGGCTTTTTATCTGGGCCTCAAGCAAGAAATATCATGGTGCAGTCGCAACTACCACAACCCATACTCGCTCAAATATGGTATAGTAACAAAATACTACTACAAAATAGCATATGAAACAACATTCTTTGTACGTATTGTAGAACAAAAAATAAATTTCCAAAATGTGTGTCAACAGGGCTCTATCTGATATGGATTCGGATGGACGTTTAGGCTCCGAAGAATTTGTGCTTGCAATGCATCTTTGCGATATCGCTAAAGTCGGCGAGACTATACCTACGCCGCTTCCACTAGAACTTATCCCACCTACATTTAGACGGCAACGTCAAAGCAGTTTAACGCTGTCTCAAAATGCAACAGAAAATATTGATCCATTAGCGGGCATGCCACAGGTACGTGTCTAATATAAAAATATCTTTTTGCGCAAAAAGAAACGGAAGGGAAAAAAGTGTCTTTTTCCAGACTTCATTCGAAGATAAACGTAAAGAGAACTTTGAGAAAGGTCAAGCGGAATTAGAACGTAGGCGTAAAGCGCTGTTAGAGATTCAGAGGAAGGAACAGGAAGAACGGGAACGCAAAGAACGGGAGGAGGCAGAGAAACAGGAGAAAATAAGGCAAGTAGGACTGCTCATTAATCAAGCGTAACACAGGAAAAAACTTTATGTTTTGTGATACAGACTAGAGCAGGAGAGGCGTAGACAAGCGGAAATCGAAAAGCAAATGCAGAGGCAAAAGGAAATCGAACAAGAGAAGGAAGAACAACGAAAACGCGCGCAAGAACAGAAAGAGGCGGCACGCAAGTAAGTTCATTATACGATATTATTAGATAAATTTGTATCTGTACGGATTTAAAAGCAGCGCTGCTTCGCGACATTTAGGGAAATGGAGAGGCAACGGCAATTGGAGTGGGAACGACAGAAGTCACAAGAATTGCAAGCGCAGAGGCAAAAAGAGCAGGACGTTCTTCTCAAGTTAAAAGCGAGGAATCAGACCTTGACCATCGAACTTGGAACACTTGTAAGTATATTAAAAAGATATATAGGTACTTCAAATAATTGATCCAGATAATACTTCAATGAGCAAACCTTATATTGCCTTTCCTGACTTTTTAGAACGACAAAGTGAAGGAATTGTCACAAAAGATTTGTGACACTCGGGTAGGAGTGTCAGGTGTCAAAACGACTATCGATGGTATGAGAACAACGAGGGACACGCAGTTACAAGAAATGGCCGCGTTAAAGAATAAACTTCGGGAACAAAATCAAAGATTACTCGCGCTGACTCAAGAGAAAGCACGTATCGAGGCGAGAAATAAAATTAATGCGGCGCAAGATGCAGCCGGACAAGAGGCTATTAAAATGGCCTTCGACAATAAACAAATTACTCTTAAGCAGATGAAAGATAAAATAGCAGATTTACAACAGCAGGTATGCTCCTAACATTTGTCAATTGCATAAATGGACTTTAACTTCAGCGATATCAATATTCTACTTTCTAATTTGTATTTTTCAGATTGATTCTAAAATGTCCGATATTGAAAATAATAACGCTCAGCTCGAGGATATTAAGACCCAAATAAAGAATCTAGTGACAGATTGTAAACAGCTCTATGTCACTTTTGATGAGAAGAAGCAGAAAGTAATCGAACTTCGGTCAGGTAGCCATGCCTCAGCTGCTGACTTTGCCACATCTGCGTGGGGAGATAGTGGTTGGGGAGAGCCACCCACTAGTGACACAGCTTGGCCTGTCAACGAAACTACTGAGAGCTCAATAAATGAAGCTGCCGTTGTGGGCGTCCGCAAATACAGAGCCCTTTACGAATTCGTAGCGCGAAATCAAGACGAAATATCGTTTCAACCTGGTGATATTATATTGGTAAATACAATAAACGCAATAGAATTGCCATTATTAAAAAGAAAATTGATTCAATAAGTGAATAGTTAATATAATATAACGTGCTATTAGGTACCACCTGTGCAAAATGCTGAACCAGGATGGATGGCGGGAGAAATTCGTGGTCACACTGGTTGGTTTCCCGAATCTTATGTGGAACCGGTGGATACTGGTACAGTTGATTTGGACAACGAACGTACTTTTATACAACAAGACAGTCTAGAGAAGAGAACGTTAGAGTTAGTTGTTTTCATTTTTGATGATAATATCAAGAGTATCATTCCATATATCACCAAGTGTTGGCCTTTTTATTGTGATTGTGCAGAGGAATAGCAGAAGTTCCCGAGAACGTATCCGATGCGGGATCATTAGGGGGAGAAGCCCCGATAGTAGAGGCTATTATACCTACTTTAGGATTAGGTACATGTTGTAACATACAAGCTATCGCTTTGTTTCCTTACCGACCTACTATGGAACAACATCTTACTTTTGAAAAAGGAGAAACTATCAATGTTTCTGAGCAGCAGGTTACTATTATATTTATTATATGAAAGATAACGCATATATACATACGTTTTCTAAAGTATCTATTTTATTCAGGACGACTGGTGGTACGGTTCAGCCAGTACTGGAAATAAGGGTTGGTTCCCCAAGTCGTACGTGAAAGAAATAATCGCAAGCAGTAAAGACACCGCGGTTGAAGGTCTCAATGAATATTACGTTGCCCTTTATCGATACGATTCGACCGAAACCGGCGATCTCAATTTTAATCAAGGGGAAGTTATATTGGTTACGAAAAAAGAAGGCGAATGGTGGACCGGTTGTGTAGGGAACAAAAGTGGAATCTTTCCTTCTAATTACGTAGAGAAGTGCGACGCTCCCAATCAGGTACATTAGAAATGTCTTGCATTTCATTTTGGCTAATTTTTAATCATTAATTTATTCAAAAGTTGAAGATAATTGCTTGCTTTGACAACTATTTTTTTCTGTTTTCTTTTTTTGTCAATTCAAAAATTTTGGATTAACAAAGCTTGCTTGAAAGTTTCTAACACGGGTTTGTGTGTTAGGGTGCGCCTTTGTCTACTAACGTTCAGTCCACTGATGTTGCTGCAACCGCGGGTGCTAAGAGTGAAACTGATACTCCGGCGACCGCAGCATCGCAAGTGCGTATTCGTAATTGTTTATTTCAAATTGCGTTTGCAATTGTATCTCACATTTAACTGTACGTGTTGAAATGCTAATGTTATTAATCCATTTATCCGTTATTGATATCGGACAATAAGACAAAGACACTTTATTGTAGTTAGGCTTTATCTTCACTTATTCTGTACTCAATAATTTAATAACTCGTAGAATAAGTAAAGGAGCGTGTTATTACAATTAAATACGACAAACTATAAAGCGTGCTTCTATTTCGTAGGTAGAGAAAACGGCAGAGCAGTTAGAAGATGAAAGAGCAGCTGCTGAGGATAGAGCGGAATTACCAGACTTTACTGCTATGGCCGCTCAGCAGGTAAAAGCAAAAACTTCTAATGTACTCACAATTTGACCTTTTTCTATTATAAGAGTGTAATTGCTTACTGCTTTTTTGTGCTTCCGACATCCCGATAATGCAGTATTATAAGGTATTTTTGATCATATTATTACATCCATTTTTATCGTTATTATATTTTATATAAAACTTTTTTTTTTATTTTTCAATATATGGAATTGTTTCAATATATCGAAAAGCTAATTTTACTTAAGAGAAAAATCTTTTTTTCACAGAGAGGAAGGAAACCAGAAATTGTTCAAGTTATTGCGCCCTATCAAGCAACAAGTGCAGAACAGTTAGATTTGCAAAGAGGACAATTAATAATGATTCGTAAAAAGACTGACAGCGGTTGGTGGGAAGGAGAGCTTCAGGTAGAAAGAATACAAATTTTTTTTTATCTTAACTATCATACTGTTAAGTAATAACTAGCGCATTGTTTATTTAGGCACGCGGTAAAAAGAGGCAAGTTGGTTGGTTCCCAGCAACTTATGTTAAACCCTTAACCAGTAGTAGTAACAGAAGTACACCTGTCTCCCAAGGATATCAAGATTCTCCAACGGATCCAAATATTGGTAAATAAATTCTGCAATTTATTATCTTACAATTTTTTCAAAACTATACTTATATGTTTAGATTAAATTCTAATTCTTAGAACAATCTACTCGGGCTAAAATTATAGCATAAGTGTTTTTTTTTATAGAACGTGTTATGGCTTTGTATCCCTACCAAGCACAAAATGAGGATGAATTAAGCTTCGAGAAAGGTGACGTTATATCAGTACTCGCTAAGGAAGAAGCATCATGGTGGAGAGGCGAATTGAACGGCGTATCCGGCGTCTTTCCGAGCAACTACGTATCACCTATGTGTAAGTATTCCTTTCGTACGTGATTGCCGAAATTTAATCCTAGAATCACCTTAAGCTTTTTAACCTCACAAGTACAGTGTGAACAGAGAAAATTATGTAGCGCTAACTTATATTAAATTTCCACACGTACTGACTGCACGCGTATAAACATTAGAGAGAGAGAGAGAGAGAGAGTGATTGAACCAACTAATAGATTATAAAATAAAAATTATAAAAATGCAAAATATATAACTTCTGGCTACAGATAGGCGGACGATCGTCAGGTGTAACAAGTTCCAATTAAAACGACTATTTATTTATTGTATCTTTTATCATTGTTGTTGTTGTTTTCATTATCAACACTATTGCCATTATTATTTCTATCATCATCAACACCACCATCGTTGTCATCATAGTTATTATTATTATTATGTTATTATTATATTATTTTATTATAGTTAGGCTTTACCTTCACTTATTCTGTACTTCATCATTTTATAACTCGTAGAATAAGTAAAGATGGAGCGTGCTATTGCAATTATTATCAAATATACTTAATCTTAGCATTATATTATAAGTTAATAGCTTGTAAGACAGTAAAGTTGAAAGTATGTAGCGTATTTCCTGCATCTTTTAGATTAATATATATTGTTGTAAATGGAGCGTTAGCAGAGAGAAAGAGAAAGCATTTTTTATAAGCTCAATGTAGATTAATATATCGAAGAATATATTTTCTCCATCAGTTATATACCTTGTCTGAGTTAATGATATCATTGGAAAGCTTTTTTTTTTGTAATGTAAGTATTTGTGTAAAAGTGATGCGTTTAGTTGTCCTCAAACAAAGCCCGCTTGCACTTTTTAATAATTGACATTATTCTCATTCTTCTAATGCATATGCGTTGTGTATGGCACTGGTTATTGGTATATCAAAAGCATAAAGAGATCGTTCACACACTTATCGCCTGTGGTTGACATTACATTAGAAATAGAAATAGAAACGGATGCGACAGATTATTCTCAGTTTACGAAACAGCTTGCGTGTCTGCCTTGCATGTCTACCCATTCGTTCGTCCGTCCGTCTCTCCGTCAGAGGTAGCCGTTTCCTTGATATTACGATTAACAATTAACAGTTAACAATTGTGATAGATGTAACCTGCGATTTTATTACTCGTATATAATATGTAGATTATTGTAGATTGTAATTAATCTGTATGAACGCGGTCTTTAAAGATCCTACAATGGCTGTTATATTTTCCCAAATAGAACAAAACTGACAAGAACGTTTTCTGAATAGAATTCTTGTTCGTTTAATAAATTTCGAATTCGCTGTTTTTTTTTGTGCGTTTAATTGCAAATTTTTTAATCCGGAAAGCCTTATAAGAAAGAAATAGAAATTTTTATTTAGCAAAACACTTTGTATAATTCTATGCTTCTATGATTCTCTCGAACGACAATTTTAATATGTTAAAATTAGAAGAGATGCTTTGAAGAGAACAACTGCCTCAGTTTTTTTTATTCTTAGTCTATAATTCGCGCATTTTGTAATCTCCTTTTTATTAATTATATCTTTCGCTTTTGCTTAACACGCAGCATAAAGGGTAGCCGAGCAGCAGAACAGCATTGCTGGTTTAAATTAAAAGCACCTGAAGTGTAATAAGAACAATAGCAGCTCCTACATTCGGCACGGCGTGCTACGACAACAGAAGTCTCATCGTTGGAGACACTGTGCATGAAAAAAAGAAAGAAAAGCAAAAAAGTGAGCAAAGAAAGACAGAGAAAGGGGAATAAGAAGGGAAAGGAGTGTATGTGTGTGCGTGTTTGTGCGAGAGAGAGAGAGAGAGAGGGGGGGGGGGGTAAATCGAAAAAGAAAAAATTAATATGAGAAGGGCAGGGAGAAAGACTCAGGGTTGGCTCTTCGTCTCTATAAATATAGCCTCTACCTATACATATTATACAAGCCTTTCCCTCTGGTGCGGGGTTGCACTCATTCTTTCATTAATGTTATCATTCGAATTGTTAACATGGGTCACGACATTTTAGCTTTTAACCGTTTTACATCTTCAAACGAATTTCCATCCGAATACTATGTTCGTTGCATAAAAATAATGCGCGCATGTACCAAGTCCAATCGTTTCATTAGTGTTACGACCACCTGATCTGCACCAACACCAAAGGTCTACCTCAGTTCTCTATCTATGCTGACGTACAATTAAGAAACAATAATATTAAATTCTTAGCTTATTCACGTTAGAAATATTTAACATTACGTCATGGTACGAATACTATTGTTACTTAATGTTTAAGTGATTTGTTAAGTTCATGTTGGATGCATACTGCATCCCGTGATGATGTCCACGTTCATGTGCGGATTAATGTATGTTCAGCTCGATTTTACGTTTAAGAGGTTTATTTTAAGGAACTTGGTCTATAAAAGTATATCAAATTGTGTAAGTGAAAAATGCTTTTCGAAAAAGGAAGAAGCAAGTTTTTAGGATAGTGTCCTTGTCTCTTCTTGCTTCGGAACATTTTGGTGGTCGATCAAAATTTCGAGTATTTAATTCGATCGTCCCTTAGAAGTTAAGGTTTATCACTGTGTTTCTGTTATTTCCTTCATCTGTAGTGTAATACTTGCGTTGATCACAGTTGTGTGAAATAGAAATAGTCGTTAGAAAAGCAACGATAGTTGCGTTACGTTTTGTCTTTTGTCAACATTACTATATGGTACGCATCGCGGGCCGTTAGAAATCACGGCGTTGTCTCACCCTGAGGCCTAGAAAATGTGTGACGATCTCACGATCGAGCAGCCGGTGATTAGCTGCGACGATCGAAAGCGATATAAGAGGAGAAGGAGCCCAGAAATGTCCCAAAAGTGTACACAATTTCATTCGACGCCTGACATTGCGCGCGGCTTCTTACGTCTAGTGAAAGAAATTAGCGAATTGTGCAAAGGTATTCTGTTTATTCGCATAGAAATTTCACGGGAAGAGAAGTCAAGTAAAGCAAAGCGATACACGACTTAATTGCTCATTGTAGATTCGGCATAATTTCCAATGATTGTTCAATTTTTAGTGCTTCTATCTCGCACGAGTAACGAGTACTTTATTTGCTGTAAATAACTGAAGAGATTAAGGGTAATGTGCTCCTTCTTCACAGCCTTTTACGATAGAGCCTAAATAAATTAGCACTCGTACGTGAACAATAATTGCCGAGGATCACTAATAATGAGCTATAAGTAAACGATAGTGTTGACCACTTGATTCAGTGAGTAATGTTATTGTAAATCAGTTTTTCCATCGAATCGCATTCCTATATGTATGTGTTAATCGACTGACTGTTCATTTCCTGGATCGTAATCGACAGTCAACGTCTTTATTCGTGTAATGTATTGTACTATTATCCCGTTAACATACAGTGCTTCGTTACAAAGAATTTATTATATTAAAAGATATATTCAAATGTTTATTGTTTCCGAGAAAAGAAAAAAGAAGATCCTTGAGAACCCTATTAGAGCCTACATTTTGCACCGAGTTCAGCGTACACGCAATTATGAAGCTTTGATACAACATTGACAATTTAACGTTCGATGAACATTTTTACGAATGTTCGCAAAAGTATGATCGGTCTTGGCTTCCTTAGAGACTCCCTTGAGGCTCCAATCATAAGGTCGTTTAGAGAAACGAAGATGATACAGCTAATTCGGCGAGAAATCAAGCGCACAACGTATTTATTTATTGCTATTGCGAGAACTTTTACGCGTTCTATGTAATCCTCCACGACAGAAGCGAGTAAATACGTTATGTCACAGTGGCAATAATTGTGTGCTTAATAATTAGGTATTCCAGACAACCAGTCCAGCGTAACGTTATTCAGATGGTGACGCGGCGGGATTGTCTAAAGCAAGTTGTGCAACTGGTTACCCTTAGTCGATGTAGCCGTGTAGTGCGTTATACTCCTAAGATTGTTACTATTTGCAAGTTGTTTGTTTATTCTAATATCGAACCTCATCTGAAGTCTCACAATAGGATACGGTGTAATCTGGCGTGTAGTGGAGAATGTTGTAAGAGAGTATGAACAATTCTGTGTGACTATACGAATCTTGTTCACACTTTATATACATATATATATATAGAAATATTATATTGTGTTTCCACACACATATGTACGCCGATGTTCTTATACATATGTAAACATATCCATATGTGCATACACGGATACGTTCGCATCTCACCGCTGATCGAAATAAAATATCTGTCTGTTGTAAAATTATTTTTGTGAATCGTGTGTTACTCGGTATTATCGCTCATAATGCATTTTTTTATCGACATTGTCTCAACATATATTTTCTCTCTTTTTCGCAATGTACTTCCAATGGGATACGAAATACTTTTATCAAAATATTACGTTTATTATTTCTGAGAATGAGAATCAGTGTTCCCGCTTTAGATAATACAAGTTAAAAAGAACATTTAATGACGATTTTACGCGGAAGATACATCTTTTTTGTATATATTTTATGTGTAGCGAATGAATTGATGCTCGATACAACGATATGTCACGATTCCATGGAGAGAAAACGCCAGGAACACATTAAAGAGCTAATCGTGACTGAGCAAGCTTACATAGAAGACATGAGATTAGTACATGAGGTATTCCTTTTCGTTTTCTTCTTTGAATTCTAGTCTAGAATGACGTATGGTTCTCTCTCCTTTCATCCAAGGATTCTTTATGTCAATTTGGAGTACTTTCCCGCCGAAAAGTTATTCCTTCATTAGTGCAAATAAGTGACTTTGGAAATTAGATATTGCCAATCACATATGCACAACGAAATCTTATTTTTAAATTTTAAGCTTCAAAAAGATTTTAATTCGAATCTTAACGTCACGCATGTTCAAGAGATAAAAGACGACTAAAGAAAACGCGCGACTCCAAATTGATTAGAAGATCGATGAAAATGAAAGGAGATTCGGGGAATCTGGTATATTTATATAAGTATATTGCACATTTTAGGTGTTTGAGAAACCGTTAATCGAAAGTTTAGTCCTAAGTATCGATGAGATAGAGAGGATATTTATCAATACGAGAGATATTATCGCATGTAACGATAACTTCTTGAGGTAACCAGAATTCATTAGTATATTATGACAGAGTATACTTTCTATCGATGTCAAAATCACTGAAGAAACACGAGTGAATTTCTTGCAGGACTTTGAGGATACGAAGGGATAACAGCTATAACGGCGTAATACGAATGATCGGCGATGTATTATGTGAAAATGTAAGTGCAATTTTAAATGTGCGACACAGAAACATCTTGGTTATTGAAATCTGTCTACATACAATTTATGTATTTTGCACAGATACCTAGGATGTCACCTTATATAAGATTTTGCAGCAGCCAATTACCCGCTGCGACGTATATGCAGCGTTTGACGGAAACTTCGCCGGAATTCGTTAAGGTCGCGCAGGTATGTCAGCAAGATCCGCGAACGAAGGGGATGCCACTAAGCTCGTTTTTAATTAAGCCGATGCAAAGGATAACGAGGTATCCGCTCATCATCAAGAAGGTATTCGCTTTTATCTGCAGATAATTGTAGTCGCATATGCCGTAATATATGTAATATGGTAATTATAGATTTTAGATTACACGCCAGTCGATCATCCTGATAGACAGTATCTGCAAGAAGCACTGGCCAAAGCCACGGAGTTTTGTACTCAGGTAAAAATAATATGGTGTATTATATAAACGGTATATAAAGCAAAGTAACATAGGCCTAGTTTACACCGATCTCTTGATACGCGTATCAAATAGTATATTTGAGCTGATCAACCAATAATTAAACTAATTTACTAGTTATATTTACTATTTAATACGCGTATCAAGTAATCACAGTGTAAACTAGGCTTATATATATCGTAATATATCTTAGTACACAGGAGAATAGAATAATTTACGGATTTGTGTTATCTAATATTGTACATCACGTAGGTAAACGAAAGCATTGGGGAAAAAGAAAATTCTGACAGATTGGAATGGCTGCAAACTCATGTTATATGTGACGGCCTTGAGGAGCAGCTTGTCTTTAATTCCATGACGAATTCCGTAGGACTGCGAAAACTGTTACATTTCGGTATACTTCATAAGGTAACTATCTCTTCAGGGATTCTCCAGACCTGTGTGCCACATGATTCTACTGCCGTTTTGTTACAGTCAAAAAGTGGTAAAGAGCTCGTCAGCTTCCTCACGAATGACTTTCTACTGTTCGTTCAACCATTGAAATTTTCCTTAAATTGTCAACAATTTTCGTTCGAACGTAACGAGCATCAGAAGTTCAAGATGTACAGAAAAGTATGTATTCGAACTTTAGAGAGGAATATTTTTATAAGTCAAATAGTTTCTCATGATTACAATGCCGTTATCAAAAAGTTGACTTTTTTCTTTCGTAGCCAATATTTCTCAATGAATTGTCTTTGTCTGGAGAAAGCGATGGAACCAGTAGCCTGAGCGGAAGTGATGCAGCGGACAATTCTTTGAGAACTCTAACAATAAGACTGAAAGATCAAAAGAAGCCGATAATATTATTAGCATCGTCTGCGAATGAATGTTTAATGTGGTCGAAACGAATTGTGGAAGCACGCAAAAAGTTTCTGGAGAATGAGCAGAATTGCCTGCAAAGACAGCGGTCAAGTGAGTAACCATTACGATAATTAATCAGGCATTGAACCTATCGAACATCGTGTATTCGTACTTCTGTAAATTGCTTTCCGACGCGATTTATAAGCATATAATGTTTGTACATTATTAGTACATACCCATACACATTGACGTCGAGCTTGTACGTTTGCATAAATAATTGAGCTATTTAATAAATTCAATATTCAATAATAACTACTCACTTTATGTGGGTGAACAGAACAGGCGAAATTTGGAGCGTGCGGCAGAATTCTCGTCACTGTGCTCGAAGGTTTCAACTTAAAAGCTCCATCCGGTAAGGATTCAATGGTTTAGGTTGCTTGTTATTGCACCTTGTCTTTCTCAGTGTAGCTTGATATGCTTTTTAACGCTTTATGCTTAATGCTTCTGCAATTTCAAGGTTATGTCAAAACAGTGTGTATAGTAATTTTGTGTCTATAGGACGAGAAACACGTGTGCGTTAGTGAAAAATCAAGCCAGAAAACATTTGTATCAGTTCTAAGATTACAATTGCATGCCACGCTTTACTATTAACAGAAACCTGCCATGGTGTTGTAGTTCGCAGGAGACTTCCACAAGGTAGACTGGTGCTAGCAGTTGTCGAGGCTGAAAATCTTGCCATTGGCAGGAAAGGTAAAGTATCGAGATCCTGTATTTTATAAAACAATTCTAAACAACTGTAGTTGTATTTCATGTGGAATGGTGACTCGTTTGATTGATTTTTATTGCACTTGCTGATTTTGATAATTTTCACGTGTTTCTACTGCACAGTTTCCTTCTCTATTTCGATTATTTTCCATGCTGTAAGTTAAACTCGTTATTCATATGTCTCTGGTACGACTTAATTATAAAAGACAGTAATGTTCTTCACACTATATATTAATTTAAAATTAAGTGCTTTGGCGAATAAAAAAATTGGAAGAGAGCGTAATTGCATGACAAAAAGTTATTTCAAAAGGGATATTAACTATGAGAAATAATTATTAAAATATATCAATTTTACAACAAGGAAGATTAAGCTTTTAAGTTGAAAAATCTGTGGACAAGGGTAAGTATACTATGTTTGGGAGGACTTAAGTTTAGCTGAAAAATCGGTGGACAAGGGTAAGTATACTATGTTTGGGAGAACTTTTGAAGACTATGCAATTGTTGCACAAAAGCAAAGTTACTAACGCTTGAAAGGAAAAAAAAATATATTTTTGTACGTTAGAATTGTTGTTTATGATGATAGACTACTCATATGCATATACAAGCGTTTTTTCTTTTTTAGGGAAGTGTAATGCATTCTGCAAAGTGTCCATGGGTTCTCAAGAAGAAAGAACGGGTGTCGTATCCGGAAGTGATTGCCCTTTGTGGGATGCTTCAATGCAATTCCAAGTAAAAGATTTGCTCGAGGATACTCTTTGCATCACTGTGTTCGACAAAGGATACTATAGTCCTGATGGTAAGTCTTTGGAACAATCTTCATTATGGAAATTGAATAATTTTATGAGTACAATATTTTACACGAGATTAATAATTAATCTTTTAATCGCTAAATTGTAACTTTTTCAATGTCCGCGATATTGTTGTTAATGCAGAGTTCCTTGGTCGCGCTGAGATCAGAGTGGCCGACATAATGAGAGACAGTAAAAATTCTTGCGGGCCAATTCAGAAAAGGATCAACTTGCATGAAGTCGAAAGCGGTGACGTTGTTCTCAAGCTTGACCTACGACTGTTTGGGTAAGACGTGTGGTGCAAGAGTTTCTAATCTAAAAGTATGCATTTAAGTAAAAATTTTATATAAGACTTATATAAGACTGTATGATGAAGTACACAATAGAAAATATCATAAGAGAAAAAATGCCAAAAATTAATTTTTCCTATCTCCTTTCCTTTTAAAAAATTCTGAATAATTTTCAGATAATTTAATCTTTCATACGTTTGCATGAGAAATATCTTTACATAAAAAAATAGTAAATATATAATATAATATGATTTGACCAAAAGTATTATAAAATTTCGCGATATAATAATATAAATATAAATAAGAAATTACGTGAAGTACAAGGTTTAATTTTTGGATTTTTTCAATGGGAATGACTAATGAATATAATACACAATTGCACAAAACACATTACAAAAGTATTGCTCGTGAAAAACTTATATTAATATTTATTGATATTTTTATTCAACGTTTTGATACTTTCGATACGTTCATCCTTAGCGATACGTGCATCAATATTTTCTACATATTTCAATACTTGACTACTAATGTTAACACTGCTACAAGACAGAGATTAACAAATGCTAGTCATTTAATTGCAATAAATTAAATATTATTTTATATCGCGACGTTCTTACATATTAATAATACATTATAAGCGGAGTGAAAATGGAGTACAGTCTTCTACCGTTCGAGTTGGCTCTACTACGATACTACGAAGCATCTTTTCATCGAGCAGCGCGCAGAGACATTCGCTCTTCATTCTCTTTGCTACGCGCGTATGTTTCGTTTTCGCTTTCGTCTACATATTACGTTTTTGTTTACATATACGCGAGAAGAGTAGTAATAAGTAAGAGCGAAATGTCCGAGAGCAAGACTCAAGAGAAAAGAAGCAAAGTGTCCGGGTGTCTTTTACATTTTACAAGTTTATCCTTTATCAGGTACAGGCAGCAATTCCTTGGCGTGCCTGGGCATGTTTATCTCGGACTCCGCATCAGCGACGTCGTGACGCTCCACATCCTCCGTAGGAAATTCGTAGAGCGGCTTGAAACCACCGAAGAGCTGCGGCTTAAAATTATCGGGGTCGAACTCGTTCCTCTCGGTCTGCGTGTCGTTCTCCGAGTCGGCAGATTTCGCCTCGTCGCCGTCGCTGTCCGACTTCCTCTCCGCTGCCGCGGGTGGCTCGACGACGCTCCAGCCATTCTTGCTCGGCGTCTCGGCGCTCATACTGGCGACGAAAGGAGCCATGAAGTTTTGCGGCGCCGGTGCCGAGCTGGAAGAGCTGGACGGCTGTTGCGAAGGCAGTAGCACCGTCTGCTTCGCGTCGACGTTTGCAGCAACGTCGTCGTCATCGAGAATCTCGTCGAGACGATGTGCCGGATACGGTGCGTGCGTCGGCGTGTAAACATAAGCGATCGGCGTCGAGGTCGACGTCGACGCGGCTGACGTCGAGCTCGACGACGACGACGTCGCGATCGACGCCGTGCGATGCAACGTCACGGAGATCGCTGCCTCGTTCTTCTTTCGATACGGCAGGAAGTCCTGCAAGTACGGGATTACGTTCACCGCGTCGTTCTTCTCGTTCTCCCGCTCGTTCGCGATGGCAGCGGAAGCTTGCTGCTGCTGCTGTTGCTGCCGCTGCTCGTTGGGTATCAGTACGGGCGTCTCCTTCACGCCGACGGGAAAGACGGACGACAGATCGGGTCGTTCTAGCGGATACGGAAAGTCCAGGGCGATCGGTCTGCCGTTGTAGACGCTGTGCGTGTCGTCCGGTTCGTTCTGAAGCAGCGTGTCGGGTGGTAGCGGTCGCTGAGGGCCCCGCGTACCCACGACGACGCTGCCGTCCTTCTCGTTAGAATCGTCCGGATGTATGTTGACCGCGGTGTTGACCGGATACACGACGTACACAGGTTGCTCCGGTATTTCCGATGGATCATGATTATCCGATTTTCTGCGCTCCGCTTCGTGCGTCAGCACGGGTTGCGCCTCGTCACCCTCGTCACCCTCATCGCTGAATTCGCCGTGATGCTGTATCATCTGCAAGGTCGCGACGCGCGGCGGATCCGCCGTTCTGCGCTTCGGGAACAGCGGCGGTCTCGGCGGGGTCATCGGCGGTTCTTCTGGATATCTTTCCCCGCCTTCGACCTCGCGTTCGTCCACGACTTCACTTTTGCCGCGATCCTCCTTCCTGTTTTCGCCGCCCTCGCCGTCACCGTTGCCGGGAGTGAGCAATCTGTTCGATGGCGCGTTCTCCTCCAGGCCGCCCCGCGATACGAACGGTACCCCGGACGGGGGACGGAGCCTTCGTATCGTCGGTTCCGTCTCGTGAGGTAGGACTACGCTGTCCACTTTTGAGGTCGGCGTGAAGGCCAGTCTGACCGCGTGGATCGGCGGCGGCGGTGGATTCAGGCGCTGAAGGTACGAGGGTGGCGGCGGCGGCAGAGGCCTCCGCGACGGATGAGCCGGCAACGGCTGTCTGATTCTCGTGGACATGCCTTGCCCGGCTGGCATCGTCCCTATTATATCCGGCCCGCGATGACCGTGCGACGCTTTCGCATTAGGACGGAACTGCGGCAGGATGTTGGGCAGCTTCGTGTCCGGCGAGTACGGACGTTTCCTTATTCCCGCGTCTAACGGGGACACCGGCAACCCCGAGGGTGGCTTGATACGCGGCGGCAAGGGTAATCTCGATACGGGCGGCCTCGAGTGATTCGGCCTCGACGTATCGTGCTGATGATGATAGTAATAGGACGGCGGTCTAGGACTTTCCGCGGGCGGCACCAGGTCCTCGGCGAGTTGCGGCAGATCTCCGACGACGTCGTCTTGGGTGGCGTTGAGCCTCGTTCTATTCGTCGCCGTCAACGTCGTCTTGGGTGGCAATTCGTGAATGCTGCCATCAGCCTCGTTTATGATCACGACGTGCTCTTCCGTCAATACGTTCTTCTTCGTTTCGTCATCTGGAAAAATGATATAGCCGGCATCCTTTTCCTTGTTTAGATTCTTCGTATCGTGAACTACCGTGCTTGTGGCAGCGACAAGGGGACTCTGAGGTCTCGTCAGGTCGAGCTGCTCGTTGCTGCTCTTCAGAGGGCTGGAATTGGGCGGCCACTTCTGCGTAACGCGATCGAGATTCGATTCGGTAACGGAAACCGGCAAATGCTCGTGTTTCACTTCCTTCGTGGGCTCGTGTGGATCGTTGCGAAGCGGCCAGAACAGAGCGTCGGTCTCGGACGAGCCGTAAGGATTCTCCCCAACGGCTGTCCCGACCGAATAATAACCGCCGTCGACGTTCTGGCGATTTCCTAGGACGAAGGACACGGTATCATGATCCGGCGGTATCACGATGTTACTCGTGCTCTCCACCGCAACTCCGGGTCCTATCCAGTCTGGTTCCTTGATTACCGGGTTCGGTCTATATCCGTGACTGTCGTAACGCTCCGTAACGCCCTGTCTTCTGTCGTTGTTCAAAGACAAAGGGTGTTGCGACATTGTTGGGAATTGCAACGGTTTGTTCGCGGACACGTCTTCTTGAGACGACGTGGGCAGCGTCGAAGATACGGGTCGTGAAGGCGCGACTGTCGACGTCGTGGTTTCCGCTGACGACGCCGTAACCGTCGTGGTGGTGCTCGCAGCCGTCGTTGTCCTGGAAGTGGTCGTAGACGGTGCCGACGTAACATCCTCCTTTAAGAAATCGCCGAATAAAAAGTAATCGTTCTCCTCGCCGTCACCGTCGCCCTCACCGTCCGACTCGTAAGCGTCATAAGAATCTTTATATTCTTCGTTTTGCGGCGACGGTCTCGTCTCGGGTCTCGCGTGGGACAGCACGAGATTGTTGAGATTCGGTTGGTCCTTGTAACGAGTGGCGACCGGCGTCTTCTCCGTCGCCTCGTCGCTCGCAGGCCGCGCCGGAACGTCGCTTCGATTTCGATGAGATCCCGCGTGCAGCTTCTCTATCGGCAGAAGATTCTTCTCGTTTTCCGTCTCCGTACGGTCGATCGGGTGAAACGTGACCGAGGTACTGGACGGCTTCCACGTGGTTACAGCGGGTGCCTTGGTTGAGGTAGAAAGCACGATGCGCGATGAATTCGTCGTGATCGGCGGCGCGGAAGTCGTAGTCGTTAACGGACGGCTCGTGGTGCTCGTCCACTTCGCTTTAAGATCGTCGACAATCGTCGTTCTGTACGTGCTCGTTTTCGTTACCGGCGGGTACGGGCTCTTGACGGGAAGCACGTACATATCGCTCTCCGGATGATGAAGCCTGTGATTGTACGTGCTGTAGCTGTTGGCGCCGCTCTGCACCTTCGTATTCGCGTACGAGCTCGAGATCAACGGGTACTTATCGTTCCCGTATTTGTCCGAGGAATAATGGACGGGCAGGTTCAGGAAGTCGTGAAAGTTAGGCGTATGCGTGTTGATCTCGTTCGGCCTGACGTCGTGGCCGTCCTTGCTCCTTATTCTTTCCTGTCCCGCGTTCTCCTCGCCGTTCTCATTCTCGTCTCCGTAGTCATCGCCGTCTTCACTCTCTTTATCCCCTCGCTCGCGATAACGACCGGTATAGTTGAGAGCTTTGACAGGCGGTGCTTTCGCAAAGTCGATCTTACCGGTTATCGGGTCCTTCTCCAGGGAGAACGGCTTGCCGCCGTTGAAGGCGAAAGGATACGGGATATGGTAACGTGGAGCGTCCCCGTCGTCGCCGGTTGAGGCCTCAGCGGGATCGCCAGCGGCAGCGGCAACGGTGCTCTCCGCCGCGACGAGATCCAGGTCAAGGTCGTCCAGACGTATCTTCCGTCTCGACGTGGAGGAGCTCTCGAGCTTGCCGGATCGGCTCTTTGATCCGGCATTGTTATCCAGATGACCGCCCATTAGATACTCGCCCGACACGCATGCCAGAAGGGCGAGGAATGTCCATAGGCGTCTCCGCATCTTTCACATATGATGCCTGGAAATTATCGCTTATGATCAGTCCAGGGGCATCAAAAATCTGTATCTTAGAGGTAAAGAATCGTATCTTCATTTTTTGTAAAAACGGATTAATACTTATTAAAAAATAAAATTTTTTAATATAACAGGAGCTTGAATTGTATAATGCTAAAGAGTCTTATGCCTATTATTACTATAGTTCCTAAGATGTTTAGAACAGAATGTTTAGAAAACGTCATATTGAAAATGTTCACAGTGTGCCTTAATTTTGGTACAGCGTGTTATACTATTAAACATGTCAGTTAAATTACTTTATTAAAAACTCAATAAATCAATTTGATGCTTTTATTTTATATCTAGAAAAAAATACACCACTTCCCTATTTAATACTCTACTTTGAACTCTGTTTTCTCTAAATTCATAATAATGAAGATACAATTCTTTACGTCTAAGGTACAAAAATAGTTTACAATGCAATCTGTACAATGCAATATTTGGCTTTCCTTTTCATGAATTCTTTTTCTCACACCAGCATTCTGCATTTGTTCCAGTATTTACGTGATGGTTCTTATCTCAATTTCAAATGCGGGTGTCGCGTTTTGCACAGCGAAAGAAATGCATTAAAAAGAAGGCGACATATGACCCACATCTAGTAAAATTAAACATAGCGGCATAATTAAATCTATTTGTAACGCACATACACGTCTATCTATGCAAGATCACAATTAGATAAGCTTATCAGATACGTTGTGATAATTCCGGAAATATTACTGTAAACGCGTCATCTTACGCTGTAACGTATCATGCCAAATGAGATACTAATTATAAATGTAAGGCCGTTACTCCAAACAAGTTCCGTTCGACCGAAGCCGATCGTGAGTGGCATAAATAGATAACAATATGTACGCGCAGTTTTTGAGAGGATCTGTCTTCGGGATAAATGCAAATTCGCAACCTAGAAATTCCGATAAATTCCTTGTAACGTATAGACTATATTACGTCAAGTGGAATTCCGTTTCAATGTATAACGGGTTTTCAGCAAGCCTCTCTCCTCCACGTCTTCCGGCATCGCATCGTCTCTTTCTTTTGTCTTTCTACACGCTTCCCGCACGGATCTGTTTTAACGTTTCCTCCGAGTTGTCCTACGGCTTTGATAATCCTATATCTGACTTTAATATCCAGGTCGAATAACGTTGCACGGTGACATGTATATTCGCCCGTTAAAATCGTCTAACGCCGCTCACCATTCATAACACGGGCCGTAACGTCCGTGGTCGTGACCCGGTGTCTCGGTATTTCCTGACACGGTGAATGGGACGCGGCCAGGTGATGTTGGTCAGTATGACCCACTTTGTTCCCCGCTTCAGGGGGGATCCTGCCCCCGAATTGTGTAATTTCAATTTCGCACGCGGTGTGCTTGATGGCGAATCACGGTTTTACGCGCGCAATCATTTTGCCCTGGATTTGGGATGCTGCATCCTCTCTGGCTTGTTCGCGAAGGATGTATAATAACGTTCGTGCAAATCTCGAGGATGCCAATTGGTACATTCTTTTTCTTAAATGATAGATCTCGCTGTTCCATACTTATGCAATCCGATGACCCTTAAGGATTTTAATTTTAATCCAGACAGAGAATTGTCACATCAATTATTTGTCAACATATTATAATTAATTACAGGTTCTAATAGTTTCGCGTTCAATTCAATCGTTAGACCTAGTCACCTGACGAACTTATACTGAACACATCGCATCGAAAAGCGTTTTATTATTAATTGTGTAAATATGACGAATAATTTTTTGCAAAACAAGCATTCTGTTATACCTCGATTATGTGAAGAAACAGTGACGCGCCGACAGATCGAGGCCTCCCTTCGGCTCCACGCGATTCCTGGTGCTCTTGCGATTATTTACTGATCCATCCACACACGATTTTCCATGTAACACATTTGATCCGAATGTCAGTAATCGCGTATAACAGTTTCGTGCTAGTCCCCGACGACGGAAAAACGTTCCTTCTGCGAACGCAATCGGTGCGCGTCGAGGACAAAAAAATCAGAGCCGCGGGAAACTGGCAGGAAACCCCTGACTGGTAACCCTGGAAGAAGGTCGTATAACGACTGAACAGCCTTGTCGTCAGGACGGTAGGAGCGAAGACGAAGAGGTGGCAAGAGGACATGCGGTGGAGGAATCGAAATGACCCGAAGAGTAGGAGAACGCCGCAGCCGCGCGTCCGCGAAGCGAGGAAGAAACGAGGAAGCGGATGATTACAGAGTGGCGATAGCTAAAACCCGGCTTGGTGTCCAATAAGATAAAAGGATAACGGAAATCTGCATTTATTTGTAAAAGACGGATGTCGCGCGAAGACGGCACAACGCGAATGGATGGATCTTCGTTCAAAATACACTTTCCATCAAACGTTTTTTTTTTTACAGAACTTTGCCTTTGTGATGTTAAAAGCTATATAAATCGTACACGAACCGTCATTAGTAGTAATATAATTGTAAATCTAAAGAATTCCGCTGCAGGCAGATATAAATCTGTATAAAAATAGTGCGTGAGGAAAATATTTTAATTAAAAAATTATTTAAAAGTATAATGTAACATATAAAATATAATATGATATAAAAATATAATATAATTATTTTATCAAAGTGTGAAAGTCAAACGGCCAATTTTTGAGCAACGACAAAGGATATGTTAATTTAAATAAAAACTGATTTATTAGAAACAATAGATATTAAGTTAACGTTTACTTAGGCTTCTTCAGAACCTAATAAGAACAAATCTGATAAAATTACATGTAAAAAATTAAAAAGATGAATAGATGTCATAAATAAATAAAAAATAGTATAATAATCTCATAATAAAATGGTTAAATACAATAATACATAAACGGAACAACAATCGCATGGATGAAAAAACTATGGTTCATGGTCGGACTCAAGTTCAAAAGTTTAATAATCGAAAAATGAGACAGTATATAGTTTCTCTATCAAATCTTATTATTACGAGATTAATATTCAATTTCTGATTTATTTTTGACATCTATTCATCTTTTTAATTTTTTTACATGTAATTTTATTATATTTGTTCTCATTGCGTTCTGAAGAAGACTAAGTAAGTCGAAACGTTAACTTGATACCTATTCGGGCGGAAAAACGCAATATTGCTTTGTAAAGACATTTTTTGTATTAATGATAATTGGTTTTCAGCAGTTTTCAACAGCGACGAGGGAAATCCTCTCCAATGAAGAAGACGTAAGAAGGGCGTGCACGCCACCGAGTTCTTGCGATCGCGTTGCCGCTAATATTACCGTAACGAGATATAACGTACAGCGTGAGGTATACGGACATCATCGTGTAGGTGTTGCTACATCCGCTCACGCTGTTGCTGTTGCTGCTGTCGAAGGATACAGAGTCTCCAGGGGCGGAGAAACGGTACGTAGAACAGTTAGACGACGACCTACATCGAGCGGAGTGCCTCGCAGCGGCCGGCGTACCAGTTTCTTCGACCTTGCACCACAACCAGGCGCCACAAACGATCTTCTAAAATTTTACGAGACCCGGGGAGGGAATGATTCGCTCATATCTTCCGGAGAGCAGCGAATTCGATCTGTCGTCGATCGTTAGAAATTAACGGCGATCTTACCTCCGCGAAAACTCGAGTCATGATGCGTCAAACGTAGAGATCGCAGGTTGATTTTCGTTTGACGCGTCTTAGGATTTTCCCACGATATCGATGGCAAGTCTGCAATGAAACGTAGCGCGATATTAGGAAGTAAGCTTACAGAGTTTATCTTTTTCAAATTTCGTCGCATCGTCGCGCGAAACGCGACACGGCGCGTCGATTTGCTAAACGCGCGCGATAACGACGCAACAATAATACGCGTGCGTCTGGATTTAATCTACAAAATTTGTCTTTGCTGCGCATGTCAAAGAAAACAGTCATTGACCTCGTCAATGACGAGTAGTCATTATTCCCGAGGTTTGTATATAAAGCGCGCGCAGTCAGCATTAGCCACTTGTAAGGCGCACTTGCTCCCGAGCATCACCTTTGTGGGAAAATATCGCTGAGTAGTCCTCTCGCTTCAATTACGCGTCGTGAAATAACAGCGTACAGCGCTTACCATGACGTCGCGATTTGCGAGCGTCGTCGCTTTGTGCGTCCTGCTGAGCGACGCGAGTAAACTCTATGCTGGAGCGCAGCCCGCATCCTGGAATGAAATTGAGGAGAATTCCGTGGAGAGGAAGACAAAGGAGCTGCATGAATCCATCGAATTCCTGACGCGTTCGATTGGATTCGACGACGCTCAGTCGGCTCAGCTCACTCGTGCCCAAGTCTCAGAGCACCTAATACCGGCCTTATTAGCCAGATTCGTCGTTAATCAAGCTGGTAATCGTGATATCTTTTTAGAAAATCTACCGAACAAGTTTTTACATTAATGAAGTAGCACAGTATAATAATATTATGTCTAAAAATTATATCATTTAATTAATTATACATTCTGATATATTTATAGAATATACATCAGCATACAGAATATATGCTCATGTATTCTATAAACAGCACTTACATAAACGCGTATCTGTTTTATAAAGAGTAAATGAACTTTCGAGATACGCGGCGGACGTATGTATGTACGTGCGCGAATACACGCGCACACGCTGCGTGCAGTTTCGATTCGATAATAGGATTGAATTAAGTATGTAATTGAAAGGAAAATTTTCGCAGCTTGCGTGTCATTTTATCAAGAAGTGCGTGCCGAGATAATTATATTGAAAGTCGGGGATAGGACGAAAAAGAAAAAAAAACTGCACGTGCTGTGTTATTATTACGTCTCATTCATGCGTCTTGTGGATAAAACGTGTATATATATATGTATAATATATGTATATACGTACATAGCTATTTGCCGTCAACAAAATATCGGTATTTTGGTCTCGCGCCAAGCATATTTGATCTGATGTCAACTAAAAATAAATAATTCGTCGCCATTGTCGAATGCAAAATACGACAAAAAGACCGCTTCGAATATTACAGTATATATAAGAATAATCCTTTTGTTTCCCAGAAGAGAAGACAAAGGGATCAAACAAAGAAATTGGCTCTCTCTTCACTCGAGTCAATCTGAAATAAGGAACTACTTTTAGAATTCGAATCATTTTATCGTATAGAAAAAAAGAAGTTTTGTTAAAATCATTTAATTCAGCGCGTCATGTATCATTAATATACCTATTTGCGCATTCAGTATCGGGTAGATCTATGTGTCGGCAGATTGGGGAGCCGTAGCGACGATAAGCACAAGGAAGGATGTTGAAAGCTTTCCCGTTGCAAATTTGATCTCCATCGCCGACGGGCCTGTTGGAAACGGTACTGGAATACCGTACATGTACCTCACTCCTCTCGACTTCACCGCTCAAGATCTTGCTGTAAGTAGTGATAGTACGATATCAATTGATAATTAGCTGTTGCACATCCGTGCAACGTATACCGCATATACTGCATACGTTATACTGCACGTTATACTATCTAAAGCATCTACGATACGAGTTTGAAAAATGTGACGAACAATACAATAATTCTGTTAAAAAATGTGGTACAAAAAGAGATCCTTGCATAAATCGATCTGATAATTATATTTTTAATATCTCTTGATAAGACTAAATGATAAAAATCTATGAAATTAAACTTTTGGTTTATCTCTTGATAAGACAATAATTAAAACTTTTTTAGTTATACAATGTACACTGTGCATGACATCAAACGTTACAGGATAGCAATAATTTTTTAGATTATATCTATACTAATGTAATAAAATATTATTAGGATTAAATTTGATGTTTCATGATAAGGCATCATAAGACGATAAAAATGCAGCATGTTGCTTAGAATACACTGCTTTTTTGTTGTCTTATCCTTGCTGCAAAAGGTGTATCATTGTTTTAAATCAATATAAAAAATTAATATGATTATTTCATGATTATGCAAAAATATATAGTATTAACAACTACGCAGGAAAAGAAGCCAGAAATTCGAATAATTTTTTGGACCATTAATTTTTCTTATCATTTTCTTATCGATTGGGAAGAAATTGAATATTAATCATGAGATAATTATATTGATTGTTATGTTAATTAAAAAGATATACTTGTTCAGTTTGCAGAAACGATCCTCAGATTAAACCCACAATATTTTATTATACTTGCACAAGTGTAACTTAAAAAAATTATTGCTGTTGTTTCACATTTTGATATTACGTATGTACATCTTATAATTAAAGAGTTCTGATAATTATCTTATGTACCTAATTGTCTTATATAATTCAAAAGAATTTAATTACTGTGTTATCAAAAGATAAGCAAAAAGTTTGATTATATAATTTTATCATTTGGCTTGAAAAAATAAGAAGCTAAAAATATAATTTTATCAAAATAATCTAACTCGCCTGTCGCTAATCGTTGATCTAAACTTCTTTACAATTAATTATATTGCATTAATGCCCGATTGTGTTATAGAAAGATCATCGTGCGACTATCCTGTTGTCTTTGGCTCAAGGTAGTTATTGCAAGGATAAAGGATACGATCCTATGGACCCACGATGCGTTAGAGTGATGCTAACTGGAAAGATTGTAGGGGTCAGTAAACTACTTGCTTATTATGCATTATTCTTTGCATTTAGCCGTTACTAACATGTTTGATATTTTAACAACAGCTGAAAAACAATACTAAGGAGCACGATGTCGCGAAGCAATTATTCTTCGGCCGTCACCCGAAGCTGGAGAACATGCCCGCAAGTAATATCGCTAGTGTCTTCGTATATTATCTAAAGAATTTTTGTACGTCAGATTACATTTGTACCATTTGTTTTGTCCAGACCACAAATTCTTTTTCGCTGAGTTGAAGATGACGGCCATCGCCCTGCTTCACACCTTCGGTGGACCAACATACATTCCTGTCGAGGATTACTTGCACCCGCCGGTTGTCCGTGGAATCTTTCCACGTCGTGGAAAAATTACGTCGCCGTTTGTTTTCAAACCCGTTGTTTAATAAGCGTAATCTCTGTCAGAATAAGATTCTGATAGTTCGAATGCTCAAGGCTTGATATTCTCCGGGTCTCCTAGGAAAGAAATTTTAAAAACTTACATTTCTATATCCCTCAAGTGATTTGCTATTTTAAGAATAGACATAAGAAAACTATGTAAACGACTGAAAATTACATATTTTGATATTTGTAATAAATCAGCGCATGTAGATTAATGAATTGATTATTCGGATTCCCTTGTATATTGAAATCTTCCAATATTTTACCTTATTCAAATCGGACGAAAAATTATAATAATGGTGAATACAAATATTATTTGATATTTTTTATGTACAAAGTATATAAAGAAACACTGTATAAATGTAAATAATGAATTGGTTTCCTTAACATTTAAATTTATATCTATAGTTAATTTACAATGTACACTTATTTGTACATATTAAATATAAAAATGATAAAGTTATTAATAATCTTTGAATAAATCATTGTCCTAAAATGTAAGAAATGATATGTTCAAAAGATTAAATATTGTTATACACCGTTATTATATATACCATTTTCTTTGTCATATATTAATTAAAATAATTACTTTCATTAACGTGTCTGTTTCTTTCCTTTTTCATTTACGTAGTTGAAATGTTTGTTCGTTGACAAATTTATATCCGAATCAGTGACATATCAATCAGCTTGCAACGTTTCTGTCGAAGGAATCAGCCCGTTCACAACTTATCTCTAAAAAAATTTTCTCTGAATAACTATATTTATAAAAAAATTAATGTACTAAAGATAAATTTGAAAAATCTCATTAAGACGCTTATTTATATTTACTTATTATATTGTATATGTATAAATAAATATATACATCATACATATTTGCTTCGTTTTCCGAAGCCACACACGCTTTGGCGAGCTTCGGTTTTGAGTATATCCGATATGTTCACGTGTGTAGTGGGATCAGTGGCCGTGTCCAGCCGAACCTCTGCTTAGCGAAGCGAAAGGTAGCAACTGAATGTGATTGGTTCTTACCTTTGGATCCAACCAATTACACTTAATTGCTACCTTTCGCTTCGCTAAGCAGAGGTTCGGCCGAACGCAGCCAGTAGTGGGATATGGGATGTGATGGGGGAGGGGGGGTTCTCCACGTCCCCCGCGCCCCGCGTCCCCGGCGCCATGGCGTCCCGCTCCCCGCTCCCCGCTCCCACGAAATCGCATCTGGCACCCGGCATACTACGCAGCTTGTATCTAGAAATGTATCGCTAGTGCTAATAACCAGACGAAGAAGAAGAATCTAGAAATGTAGAAGGCTTGAGAATTGTTTGGAACGAGAAGTACAAGAACGAGGTTAATTGTAAGTGTGGTTAAGCGTGGTTGAGACAGCGTAGTCGAACGTTTAACGTGGTCGTATGCTATTCTTCGCAAGTTTTCGTGATCTACCTAACCTATATTGTAAATAATTGGTGAGTTTTATACTACGTTTACGTTGAGTTTTATACTTACGATAATTCTTTCGCGTAAACGGGATTTTGTAGTAACTTACGATAATTTACTCCGCGTAAACGAGTGAATTATCGTAAGTTACTACAGAAGTAACGCTCGCGTAAACGTAGTATTTAGGCACATACTTCAACTTTGTTATGGCTCAAGAGAAAAAAAAATGTTGAGTTACGAATAAAATAGAAATTGTACATTGACTCGAACGCCGACTTGTAAATATTTCTTACAGTACGTGGATTTTGTTCGGGGAGCCTGTTGCATGTCTTTTTGAGAATACAATGGTGATGGAGGAATCAGATATGGAGCTAGCCTCGGAAAGTATACCGGTTCCTCAAATACAGGCACCAGTAATCGATACGATTAAGCGCAACAACAAATCGGGCGCTTCGCATGGTAAACCGAGACTGAGGAAGAAAGCGTTGCACTCCTTGATACTCAAGCAAATGGAGTTCTATTTCAGCGATGCTAACTTGAACAAGGATCGCTACCTGTCTGGACTTTTGAAAGAAAGTCCCTGTAAGTACCTACTTCTTCCTTATGTCTTTGATTCAAGATCAATCATTAGATTTGAAGTATATATAATAGCATTCTAGAAAGTAAAGTACTCGCGTGATAATAAATAGGCAGCAGACTTGCTCAGATATAACAGATCTATTACCTACATTCACATTAAACATGTGTTTTGCCAGCAGAGCCTGCCAATATAATCTAACAGCAGATTGTTGACAGAAACGAGCAGAATTTTGTAAACTCATTTTACAAACATTTAAGTAGTTTGGGGATATGGGTGGTTGTCAATTGTGGATAATGGAGAGAGGAGTGTATGGTTGGATGTATATATCTAATGATGTTATGTGGAGGATGCATCCCTAAAAATACCATGCAACTCTCTGCAAGTCGCGATGGTGCCACTCCACAAATGCCCGCCTAGCTCTTGTCGTTCGATAAGAGCGTCGGTCGGGGCAATGAATATTATTGTTGAATTTGTTTATATACTTAAGTCGGCGCGGTCGAGCGCTCGCGAGAAAACGCGATTAATTGGTGTGGTGCCATCTTGGTAGAGGCACACGTGGCCATCACAAGTAGAATAATTTATTTAAATGATTATAAAATGGCACAGATGCCATTTTATTTTACTTAATTTCTGCAGTCAATCTGCCACTATATTCTGTTAGCGGATTCTGTAATAATTTTGCTTTCTAGTAGAATAGGTTAGCATTCTATTGAAATTTGCAGTAGATACAAAATCTGTTCTCGACAGATTTAGCTATCCGAAATTATACAATATCTTACTTTTTTAATCTTATTAAAAGATATCAAAGTACTAGCTGTAATTGCCTTTGGTCTTTTAGATGTGGATCTCGAGGTATTTACAAGATTCAATAAGCTGCGCGAGTTAACCACAGATATCAGCAGGATAGCTAAGGCTCTGCAGGGATCAACTATGTTAAAAGTATCGGAGGACGGTACAAAGGTCTGTCGATTAACTCCGATTCAGAAGAAGGAAAATGTCGACGAATGCACGATTTATGTGCAAAATCTACCTCCAGATGCTGATCATGATTGGTTGATATCAATTTTTTCTAAATACGGATCGGTAGACTACGTTTCGATTCCACGTAACAAAAGCAACAGGAAGATAAGGGGATTCGCATTTGTGGAATTTGATATGCCAAGCAGTGCTCAAGAATGCATCAAGGTAAGATTAGTAGTGCTCGTTAACGGTCGTCAAATATATCGCTATATAATTGCAGATGCGAAAAATAATAAACTTCCATAACTTAGCAATGTGTTATAGTTTAACGTATTATTTTACAGATATTCCGGAAAAAAGGACATGTCTTACCATCGTATACACCTCCTACTGAAGTATTAAGTATAACGACATTTGACGAACCTGAAAAAGATGCAGTGGTTGGAGTAATTAGTTCAAAGGCTAAGAAATTGAAAGACAATGAAAAAGAAAAGGCATCCAATGAAGAAACAGGCAATAAAGATGACGTTTGCGAAGTAGACACAGGGTCTAATAATGGCAAACAAAGTTTTAAGAAAAGAAAACATTCTTCAGAAAAATTGATTGTTATAGATGAAAGCGACATTAAAGTTAAGAAAAAGAAAAAAGAAGCTGGTGAACAAAATATAACGGATCAGCAAGATGAAAGAGGAAAGATACCAAAAGCTGAATCTGAAGACAAAGATAGTACTTGTGACAATGAAATAAATGTAGCGGATAATAATGGTAAACAAAGTTCGAAAAAAAGAAAATATTCTTCAGAAAAATCATTTGTTACAGACGAAAGCGATATTAAAGTCAAGAAAAAGAAAAAGGAGATGAATCAAAGTACGACAGATCAGCAGAATGAAAAGAAAAGGGTATCAAAAGAGGACTCTGAAGACAAAGATAATGAGATAGATAATAATGATAGACAAGATATAAAGAAAGGTAAATATGTTTCACAAAAATCGCTTGTTACAGACGAAAATGATATTAAAGTAAAAAAAAAGAAAAAAGCTGCAGATCAAAACACAACATATCAGCAGAATGAAAAAGAAAAGATGCCAAAAGAAGAACTCGAAGGAAACAAGGATAATTGTTACGATAACGAAGTAGATGCAGCATATCATAATGTTAGGCAAAGTTTAAAGAAAGAAAAACATGCCCCGGAAAAATCGCTTGCTGCAAACCAAAGCGACATTAAAGTAAAAAAAAGGAGGAAAGAAAGTATAAATCAAACTATAATAGATCAGCAGAATGAAGAAGAAAAGGTGCCAAAAGAAGAATCCGAAGACAAGGATAATACTCACGATAACGAAACAGATACAGCAAATGATAATGGTCGACAAAGCTTAAAGAAAAGGAAACTTACTCCAGAAAAGTCATGTATTAAAGGCGAAAAAGAGATCACTGGAAATAGCAATATAGAAAATCAAGAGATTTCGAACAAAAATCGTAACAAAGTTACAGAAAAAAAGAGGAAAAGACTCACGATAGACGACACAATTGTTGCAGAAGACATCAGTGAAGAAGCAGTAAAAAAAGAATGCGAAGAACCAGTGATAAATTCGAATAAAAATGAAACGACAGAATTGGAATATCTGTACGAAGGCGATGAGAGCAATGAGACACCAAATGCTTTATTACAAACTGAAAAACATTCCGCGAGAGATCTCGACATGAGAAATAGCGAGGAGACTAGCGTCGACGAAAGGAAGAAGAAAAAGAATCGGAAAAAAAGAAGCAAAATTCAGGACAATGACATCTGTAGTAAAATGGGATTGCAAATAATGGCGAAGTCGGATTGGAAGCGTGTTAGAAACAGATACTTAGATTTGCAACGATCTAAAATGTCACAACTAAAACTGCATTTAAGGAAAGCTGAGGTGGAAAGAGGCGGAATTATGACAAAGAATGGATGGTACTACGATAAAACCGGACAGAATAATACATCGCATGATAAATTTAAACATGAAAATGATAACGGGAAACTTAATGAAGAAAACAAATCTTATGGACGTGTTAATTATGCGCCAGGAATCATAGTCAAGATCGAAATGGATGAGCCTTGCACAGATCTGCAGAATTTTAAGGTAAATTAATATTAGAGAAAGAATTTCTTTAATATGTATATAATATATTAATATATATTATTATTATAATATATTTACTGTATACACACACATACTATAGTTATTATATATCATTATTATTAGGTATATGTATATATTTACTATGTATATAATATATTAAAGATTCCATCTTTAACAAGAATTTTATAAATGTAAAATATTATATATGCTAAGTATTTAATTTCAGATGGAGTTAAAAGAAAACAATTCTGTGAAATATATAGACGTAACAGCTGATTCTTGTGAAGCCTATGTAAGATTCGAAACAGCAGAAGCTGCACAGACATTCGTGCAGAAGAGCTACGAAGGAAGACGCTTGACTGTTTTAGAAGGTAAATATCTTGTATATTGCGAATAATATATGCATCGCTAACTTTACGTTCCCAATTTTTCAGGTGATGAAGAGAAGTTATATTGGGATAAAATATCGGAAGACAGGACGGAGCAGTTGAGCAAGAAGAAAAGAGTCAAGCAAAGAGGGCGTGATAAATTGCTGAAACGAGCGGAGAAAGAACTTGGGAAATGTATAAAGTTCGATCAAGATTGACTTATCGTATTATTCGATTTTTTCTAAAATTTTTAATATACGTACACGCGCATATGTTACGTTGTAGCACAAATCCACATATGTATATGTACGTACATGTATGTAAATAACGCTTGGCATAGCGATATAGTTGAAGTAATTAAAGGAAATTTGGCAACTGAGTAAATTGTATAAAATATTTAATTCTCTTTATGATTTATAATATTTATCATTATAGTACACGTCGCAAGATATTATTCTAGTACATTAACATGTTGATTTAAAATCTACCATCTTCCCCTGCCTCCTCCTCCTCCTCCTCCTCGACCACCACCTGAATTAGAACGATTGAATCCACCGCCTCCGCCGCCTCCTCCGCGACCTCTAAATCCTCCACTGCCGCCACTTCTGTTACCAAAACCACCGCCTCCTCCTCTCCCATAGGAACCCCTGCTGCCACCGCCTCTACCAAAGCCTCCTCCTCTGCCTCCACCACCTCTTTTCATGACCCTGCCAGGGCCACCACCTCTTTTTTGTTCTCCAGGAGGTCTTGGCAAGAACCTCTGAAGAGGCAATAGCTTTGCTGGGTCAATATATAACTATAATCAATAATTAATAACATATTTACATACATAAAAATTCATATACGAATGTTTTTGGGATGACATATGGCTCTATGTGAGAACAGTTAACTTGTAATCAATTGATCTGACCTTCATCCCATGTATTCGATTTTATAAGATTGATTAGACAATTAAAAATTGAAGAAGTTGTATGACAATGACTTTTAAAACTTATATTTAATAAAGTCACATAAATGTTGCTAATTTTAGCGTTGCAATACCTGAGCATCTTTCTGAAAGCTGCCAGCCTTCACGTTTTCTGCTACCTTAACAGACACGTAATAATCACGAATATTGCCGAATATTTCATCTATCTTCCCAATTTGCTGCTTGTTCTCCGTGTAGATCGGCGCATTGAAAAAGGGCACCTGTTCAATATCGACTTTAAGAACCAAGTCATTCTCTACCGTCCATGTGTAGTGTCCTAAAAGCGTTACTGTCTCCGGAGGTCCTTGATCGTACCTGTGATAAATTTACAGAGAGAAGCACATTTAACGCTTTGGAATTTTACTCGTGATTTAATCTAACCTATAACAAATTTGTCTGATATTTTATGCAGATTATCATTGCAATATCGATGAAATTACCCTCTGCCCTTGTCGAAACCACCAGGACGTCCCCTGTTAAACCCTCCGCCACCTCGGCCACCCCTAAAACCACCGCCGCCCCTAAAACCTCCGCCACCGCGTCCACGGAAAGACATAACCTCTCACAGAGGACAACTGTACGTCAACAACGTTCTTCACAATTATTACGCCGACTAGACTAAAAACGAAATTATAATTTCACTGGATTTGTATCCCTCGTACACCTATCATATAATTACATCTAACTGGATGGAGAAAACAAATATATTTTCACGTGCTTCTCAGCAGATGCCGGATATACCGGAGCATGCATCACGTGTACCGTGCGGCGTGCGCATGTATATGTGCGGCATTAGGGCGCGTGCACATGCGAGCGTTCTCTATCGCGTTCGCAAGCCGTGTTTTCACCATTGACAATGGCCGGCATTCAGCAGACACAACTGTTGAGTTCGTTTTATTAACATTCTGCGTCGATTAGTTGGTTCTAAAAGTAAGAGCCAATTACGTTTGACTGCTACTGAGCGGCTTGGTCTGCTGAACGCGCCCAATAGGGGGGTCGATTGTGTATTTATTGGTTAATGCGGGGAGCACACACTTCTGCACAACGCATAATACGTTAAGTATAAGAAAACTGATTGGTCCATATACATGTGCATAAGAAAACAGACCAATCAATTTTCTTATGCTTACGCATTATGCGTTGTGCAGAAGTGTGTGCTCGCCGCTTAAGGGCCAATTTCACCAACCACAGTTAGCTTAACCGACGGTTAAAGTTATCAGGATTGACCAATAGAAAGCAGGGTGGATTCATTTCTATTGGTCAATCCTGCTAACTTTAACCGTCGGTTAAGTTAACTGTGGTTGGTGAAATTGGCCCTAATACTGCTAACTTTAACCGTTGGTTAAGCTAACTGTGGTTAGTGAAATTGGCCCTAAACAAGGTGAAAATTACAAAAATGAACAGATTTTACTAGATTTCGACAAATGAAATCATAGATACGCTAGTGAATTTCCTCACTTTTGTAATTTTCACCTCATTTCAAGATACACAATCGACCCCCTGGAATTCGATTACGGTTCTTGAAACGAGGTAAAAATTAAACGGGGAGCACACACATCTGCACAACGCATAATGCGTAAGCATAAGAAAATTTAAGGTGGAAGCACATAAAATTGCAGGAGCCATGAACAGAAAGCAGAAGCCATATGCGCATGCGCTATGGTATCTGAAGAGCTCTAACAGATACCATCGCGCATGCGCATATGGCTTCTGCATTCTGCTCATGGCTCCTGCAATTTTATGTGCTTCCACCTTTATTGGTCTATTTCCTTAAGTCTTGTGTCCATGATGCTAGAACTGCGTCCGAGTTTCGGTTTAAACCAATGAAACTGCTGCTTTTCTGTAAGAGCTGCAAGTTGATTGGCTTAAACCAAAACTCGGACGCAGTTCTAAGGCCCGGTGTCCACGATGCAAGAACTGTGTCCAAGTTTCGGTTTAAGCCAATGAAACTGCTACTTTTCTGTAAGAGCTGCAAGTTGATTGGCTTAAACCAAAACTCGGACGCAGTTCTAGCATCGTGGACACAAGGCTTAACATCGTGGACACAAGGCTTTATGCACATGTGTATGGACCAATCAATTTTCTTATGCTTACGCATTATGCGTTGTGCAGAAGTGTGTGCTCCCCGCTTTACAAAAGTGAACAGATTTACTAGATTTCGACTAATAAAATCATAAATACCCTAGTGAATTTCCTCACTTTTGTAACTTTCACCTTAGGTCTGTTCTTTTTAACTTAACTTGTTGCGTCGTTCATCTTTACTCTTTTTCTCTCCAACGTGAAGAAAAAAAGAGAAAGGATGGAAGGTGCAACAAGTTTAGCTAAAAAGAACAGACCTCTTGTTTCAAGAACCGTAAAGGCCATTGCACGTTGCACGTAACAAAGTTTTAGTTATAATCGTAGGGCCGTAAGAAACTAGACCAATCACACTCGATTATTCTTTGAGCTCAAGGAGAATAATCGACTGTGATTGGTCAGCCGATTGCCAATCGCTCGTCACAATCCGCACCTCGCGCATGTTAGGTGCGAATAAATGCGTGTCGGGCCCCTTGGCCGCCAATCCATATAGCGCCAATCGCACGTGACGACCTGAAGTCACTTCCGGCGCTTCAAATTAATTGACGACAGCCTAGAGAAAGCTCCTTTATAAAAGAGCGTGCTTCGACGGAGAAGCTCTCTCGCTCGCAGTTCACCCGCAAGTATAATTCAAACCGCTTTAGTACACCGCCTAGAACTAACTTTCGCTCGAATACGAATTTAACTTCGCTATCTCGCTTCGCGAACACGCTTTTCGCTGCTTCTTGCACGCCGTACTCGCTTCTGTGCGCGCTATCTTTTACGGCTTATTAATTCCTTTGCTGAAAACAAACAAACTCTGTACATATTGTATAGATATTTATTTGGCTTTGTAATATACGGATTTTTGTGAACTTATTTTTTTGATGTTTTGTGAACTGCTTTTCCTCGTGCTTGTCCTTCTCGCGCTATCAATCGCGTATCCGCGCACTCTCGCACACAATTATTGAATTGTACGCCTTTACTATAACATATACAAACGTCAAGCTCCGAATTATCTATTTGCTTTTTGTTAAGTATGTACAAGCTTACGCATAAGCCTGGCCTCTAGATTTAAGTAGGGAAACTACACACTACTCGTGAATTCAAATGTAAAGAGATTGTGTATTCTGAATTTAACTCTTATTCCAAACTAGGTCTCATAGTCGATACATAAGTCGCATAATAAGGTATTGTACAAAATAATCAGCTGCATAAAATACAATGAAAAAGAATAATTATTAGAGAATAATTCTTTCTTGTGCATAATTCAATATTATTGTAATCTTGTATCAAACTCTTCTAAAGAAAGTAGATATCAAGTATCCTCATTTCTCGAAAATGTTGACGCAGTGTATTCCAGAATTAATCTATCTTAGAAAAAAGATCGTTCATGTTAAACACATTTTCAAAGCATATAGTACGAATAAATATCAATTAATATACAAGGAATAATCATAAATGAAGTAATGCGTCAATTAGCTGGTAATCAGGAAATAATCCTTCCAGAGATGAAGTGATTAAATAATATAAAATTATACATGTACTCGAAAGAGCAATAACTATCTTCTAAAAGAGATAAAGGATTATGCTAAGACAGCCTATTCTGAGTGTTTCTACAAATCGAATATAACGCACTTTTCAATATTAATTGACACATTAATTCAAGCAATACAGCAAATTATCCAATAAGTAATATACCGGTTTATAATCGAACTCAGTTGAAGATGAAGAGAGAATTCAATTAAGTAATAATTAATCATACGCAGATAATACGTTTTATCTTAATAACGCAAGAAATGTCAAAATTAACGGGAATGAACCACAATAGACGCAAGTATAACGCAGTATTCACTTGAATATCGAAATCACGTTTTTTTTTTGGTAATCTTGACAATGTAATTTTAAGTTATTATTTACAGAAAGAATAAATGATTATCCACGCGGGTTGCAACCACAAGAAAATTAACGAGAAGGAATTATACTGAGCTCAGTTTTCTACCATGGTAAACGAGGGCCCGCGATGCTTACAAGCCCTTTTTGAGCTTCCTTTACAGAATCCGCTCCTCCATGAAATTCGTTTAAATATCGTCCTTTTTACTTAATGGGAATTGCTAAAGGTAATAACTTTCCTTCTTCCTGCAGATAATCTAGTATCGTCTATCGATATTGGAAGACAAGTTAGCTTTGTCCTGACTCGGTAAGGCTGAACTGTTCTTGAGGCTCTGATTTTATATAGATTTGTCCTGACTCGGTAAGGCTGGACTGTTGTTGAGGCTCTGATTTTGTATCTTTAGTGCTAAAAGAAGTTTCTGTTCTGTGTATTGTTGTGTGGTGCTTTTTACTACATGTACGACAACGCTTAGTTACTTTACAATTCGCTACTCGGTGCTTCCCTAAACAATTGTAACATAATTTGTGTTTGGCTATGAGTGCCAACTTTTGAGCAATAGTCTCATTTATGTACTTAGGACATTTCACAATGAAATGTTTTTCTTTACAAATTGGACAAACCGATGTGTTAGACGAGGCATTATCGCCAGACGTTCCTTGGTAATGAGTTTTGGCCGTATTTCCTACTTGAGATTTTTCATGCGCCTGAAGGGAGAAAAGACGAGTAATCAAAAATTCGTTAAGCTCTTGCCACGAGGGAGGGATCTTTGATGACCCTAGTTTATTCTCCCAAGCTTTAACCGATTCTGAGTCTAACTTTTGTACCGTCATGAATACGAGAAAATCATCCCATTTGTCCACTGGTCGTTGTAACGTTTCTAATGTTCTGTAAATTTGAAGAACAGCAGTGTATAAATATTCTAGCTCGCTAGCCGATTCCTTTTTCATTGATTTTAGATTAACTAAAGACTGTAATGCCGTGTTAACTTGAAGTCTAGGATTGTCATAAAATGGCAAGTCTCTAAAATTGAGCCATTTTGACGGAGTACCGTCAAACGTCGGAATGTTAATTTGAAGGAGACGCGCATCCTGATATTGAGAAACGTTGGATATATGAGTATCCTGAGATCGAGATGGTGCAGACAAAGACCCTGCCAAATTTTGCTGGTCTGTACTGATACTAGACTTAATCTTTTCAACTGCTGCTACGTAATCCATGTGAGTCACGGAAAATAATTGATCCGTGAAATACGAGTGCGTTAGAATTAACTGCCTGTCTTCACTTGTAAGTTTAGCAACTGCCAGTAAAATGGCGTCATGATTTAAACTGAACCTCTTCCAATTTTCATCTAAGGAGGAAAGGTAACTATCTATTCTTTGTTTCGTAATTCCTGAGGACCCTTTTTTGATAAAATTATCATAAGTGTTAGCTATGTAATTACTCAACACGAGTTGTTGATTGATATGATCCATTATCGAATCCATTGTACTGATTGTAGATACCTATTGATATCAAACTCGAAATGATTCTGGCGGAATGCTTTTCACTTAACTCTGTTTATAAACTTTCGCGAAACTCGATGTGTCATTTCCCTCATCCGGACATCAAATGCAATAGTAACAGTATTCAGATCTCAGAATTGATTTCTACTTCAATCTTTGTATCCGGAATTACAAATCCGGAACTACAGATCCGGCTCTACAAATCCGGAATCACATATCCGGCTCAAAGGACCAATGTTAAGTACAAACTTACGCATAAGCCTGGCCTCTAGATTTAAGTAGGAAAACTATACACTACTCGTGAATTCGAATGTAAAGAAATTGTGTATTCTAGCTGAATTTAACTCCTATTCCAAACTAGGATTGTCTCATAGTCGATACATAAGTCGCATAATAAGGTATTGTACAAAATAATCAGCTGCATAAAATACAATGAAAAAGAATAATTATTAGAAAATAATCCTTTCTTGTGCAGAATTCAATATTGTGATCTTGTATCAAACTCCTCTAAAAAAAGTAGATATCAAGTATGCTCATTTCTCGAAAATGTTGACGTAGTCAAGTGTATTCCAGAATTAATCTATCTCAGAGAAAGGATCGTTCATGTTAAACACATTTTAAAAGCATGTAGTACGAATAAATATCAATGAATATACAAGGAATAATCATAAATGAAGTAATGCGTCAATTAGCTGGTAATCAGGAAATAATTCTTCCAGAGATGAAGTGATTAAATAATATAAAATTATTCATATACTCGAAAGAGCAATAACTATCTTAATTCTAAAAGAGATAAAGGATTACGCTAAGATAGCCTGTTCTGAGTGTTTCTACAAAACGAATATAACGCACTTTTCAATATTAATTGACACATTAATTTAAGCAATAAAGCAAATTATCTAATAAGTAATATAGCGGTTTATAATCGAACTCAGTTAAAGATGAAAAGAGAATTCAACGTTTTATCTTAATAACGCAAGAAATGTCAAAATTAACGGGATTGAACCACAATAAACGCAAGTATAACGCAGTATTCACGTGAATATCGGAATCACGTTTCTCTTTTGGTAATCTATCTCGACAATGTAATTTTAAGTTATTTACAAAAAAGATAAATGATTATCCACGCGGGTTGCAACCATAAGAAAATTAACGAGAAGGAATTATACTGAGCTCAGTTTTCTACCATGGTAACGAGGGCCCGCGATGCTTAGTCCTTTTAGATTGAAGACATCTCTCTCTTCTGTTGAGGAGGTATTCCTCGCATCGTTCTCTCGTGAAATCTGAAACCAAAAATCGAAACGATGAAAGGACCATAATGCTAAGACTCCATAGACGCGGAAACGCCGTGCGGTAGAGTGCGTTGACCAATCAGAAGGCTGCCGCAAGTCGCCTGCGGCAAAATCAAAATTTGTGATTGGTCAACGCACTCTGCCGCATGGCGTTTCCGCGTCTATGGAGTCTTAGCATAAGTCCATCATCTTACGCTGGACAACTATCTAGCGTCCACTTTGATGATTGATGGTTTAACAGAGATCGAAGGAAGTTACCTGCAAGCTGAGGCCTTCCTCGTATATTGAATATAATCCGTAAAAAGATTATCGCATTGAGCAAGCCCGAAAGGGCATTCTTCTGTTCCACAATTGCGGTCTCGTCCTTTGTTCGTGTGACGACGACGTCAATGGCGACGATCGACGATCGTTCTTCCTTTTACGTAGTTCGGACCGTGGGTATTTGGGTATCGTTTCTCTCAGCAGTATCGTAACAGCCTCGATCGACAATACTGACAACTCTCGGTTTTTTGTACAGTAACTCGAATATCGTAACGATTGCAATCACGTATCAATTCTCAACTCAATCAAACGAATCGTCTCGCAAAAAAGTGACGACGGACGATGATGCTGGACGATGCGGACGATTGACGAATGATGAATGCCAATGAATACTGAATGCTCGCTTGCCCGCTCGCACGGTCTTCTTCTTCTTCTTTAATTTCGTTAGCTCCTGCCTCTAACCGAGGACAATACGGCCAGTCGCTCGCACGGTCGTATCTCGCTCGCCGAGATGAGCATAGACTAAGAATGCATATGATGTTCATTTAATCGAGTCCTTCGGAAAGTGTTCTCTAATCTGATTGCTTCCGCCATTCTCACCTGAAAATGGCGGAACCAATCAGATTAGAGATATTCAACTGACAAGAACGCACCCTGCCGGTCCGACGGAGAACTCCGGTGTGAATCCGTCCGCCGTCGTAAGCGCGAAGCACGAGAGCGTCGGCCATTTTTATCGAGCGTGCTTCTCCGCGTCGTGTCAAGATGAAGTAAGTTGCGGTTTTTCCGTTGCGGAGATACGAATCCGATGCTTCCGATGCGATCCCGTCGTATTTACGACGGAAACGCGACGCGTTACGACAACGCGATGTCCGTAATTAATCCACATATGCTATTTCCAGGATCGGGTTGTGCGCGTACAGCGGGTACAAGATATACCCGGGCCATGGCAAGACCATGGTCAAAGTTGACGGAAAGGTGAGTATCGCCGGGATGGCGATGTAACGACGATGCAAGCGGAATAATCGGCGATCGTGGCCTTCCGTCGGGTTTCTCGATTATCGCGACGCGTCTCGTCTATCTCGCCTGTTGCACGTGTTGGCGTAACTAATCACTCCCTTCTCGCTTCCGCAGACTTTCACCTTCCTCAACTCGAAATGCGAGTCCGCTCATCTGATGAGGCGAAATCCTAGGAAAGTGACATGGACCGTTTTATACAGGTAAAGATAAAATCGGACTAACGTACAATTTTCTGAGGAACGTGGAATTAAGGGAGGCACAATTTGTCTTTCAGGCGTAAACACAAGAAGGGTCAGGAGGAAGAGCAGACCAAGAAGAGGACGAGGCGCACGCAGAAGTTCCAGCGTGCCATCGTCGGCGCTTCTCTCACAGATATCTTGGCTAAACGTAACATGAAGCCAGAGATTCGCAAAGCTCAGAGGGATCAGGCGATCAAGTATACATTCTTTCGATTATCTCTGTTTGTTAACTAAACAATTATTCGCTCTGAAGCAATTTGAAGTATAGGCCTGGATTCAAAGTGCACTTTTATTGATAAATGTGCACGTTTGTTTCTATAGTATAGGTAACATGAACTACAGCATCTCAGAAAAAAATGTGCATTTATCAATAAACGTACGTTCTGAAAAGGGGCCATGAAGCCTGTTCTTTTTAGCTGAGCTTGCATGGTTTTTCTTTTTTCTCCAATGTGAAAAGAAAAAGAGTGCAAGAAGTTCAGCTAAAAAGAACAAGCCTATATATCAAGTAGCAAGTATATACTTTTGCTCGAAGACAAACTGCATGCGATAGACATCTGTTCCTTTGACAAAGCTTCTTATGTTTCGTCAGATTTCAGAATGTCTTAAAACAAATCTGGATTACTTCACCCGGAACTGTATTTTCAATTACATTGTCTGGCTTTTGCGGATTCATACAATCAATATAATAGTATTATCTAATATTACGTCATAATTATGTTTTAACTGATTCGCTCGTTTTCCTTTTCTCAGGGCTGCGAAGGAACAAAAGAGAGCCGCGAAAGCAACGAAGAAGGCTGTTGCTCCTCCGAAAGCGAAACAAGCAGCAAAACAGAAGGTTGCCAAGGTGACGCAAAAAGCTGCACCTCGCGTTGGAGGAAAACGTTAAAGTCTGTAGCTATATAAATAAAGTAAAATATAATTCCATTTTGACTTATGTTTTTTATATTATCTTTACAATAAAGAAATAATTTCCAGATAGGCAAATAATATATGCATCTCCATTTGCGTTAATATGTAAGAATGAAATAATTTGCATTTAATTTATACAGTAGAAATGATACATTTTTTACATTTAAAAATTGGTACAATTTCGTGATAAAATTTACTGTATCACATATAGGTCTGTTTAAAAGATTTCAATGTTGGCACATCAATGGCATGTGTACAATATATCAATTTTTACTTTTTTATCTCATTTAACTCTTTCTTGAGGATGGACAGCTTTATCAAGGCGGTGTCTCGCCATGCGCGTCGTTCCTGCAACTTGTCGAGTGGGCACATCTCGTTCAACTCGTTGCTGATCTTGTCCGCCATCTCGCCCACGAATTTGGGCACCGGCCCGAAAGTCATGCTCGTATCATAGATCGATTTGCTATATGTTTCGCAGTACTTCTTCATTCCTACAAGACAATATGTCGCAACGTGAATTTCATCCCCGTGGAAAAATTCGCTTGATTTTTATGGTGATATATAACGACTCTTCGCATCCAGATGATGCGACTGGCTTACCTTCGGCATTCAGATGCGCGGCCTCGAAGGCACCGAGGAAAGCATAACGCATTCCGAGACCTTCGCTCATCACCGCGTCAATGTCCTTTGCGCTTAGTACTCCATCAGCTACCAATCTCCAAGCTTCGTTCAAGATTGCGTACCTGCCGATGTTGATTTCTTTATATGTGAAGTATCATGGTACAGTTGAACGATAAGAATCGTCCAAAAATGGCTTTATGCGGGCGAAACGTCCGATTACATACTGTATTCTATTGAGCGCAAAACCGTCGATCTCCTTGTTGAAGACAACGGGTTTCTGGCCGATCTCAGTCATGATAGCTTTTGTCTTCTCAGGAATATCAGGACGCGTCCACGGGGCTGGCACTATTTCCACAAGTGGTACATAATAAGGAGGATTCACCTATATTTGCAACACACAATAAGAGTTCTAATTATCAAAATAACTTATTTAAATAACAAATGTTTTTTTGTCTAATCTTGTTAATTCTTGAGTTATTACGAGATTGTCTTTTAGTCAGATTGAATTATTAGTATTAAAAAAAGTAAATATTTATTATTTGCATCAAAAGTTATATCTATAACTATAAATGCAATATATAATCTTATGTCTTGTAATATTTTACAATAAATCTTATAATAATTTTATAAATGTCTCTCTGTGATATGTAATATAAGTATGAATTTTTATATATAAATGTTAATCTCTGCTAATTCGATTTATAGCACAAAGATTTCGCAAAAAAAATCTGTAAATTATTTACTGTATTACAAGTAGTCTGAAAATACGTACAGGATGGGAGACGATAATCTGCTCGCGGTGTTTTAGCTTCTCGCTGAAAAGAGACGGGCGGAACGTGGACGTCGAAGATGACAAGATGACCTTGTCGTCGACGATCTTGTCGAGGTCGTTGTAGAGTTTCGTCTTTAACGGAAGATTTTCTGGCACGCATTCTTGGATCAGCTTCGCTCCCTTCACAGTCTCCGCCAAATTGGATGATCCTACAATCCAGATCCTTGATTAAATTCTACATGGAAAATGAAACTTTTCTGGAAAAACCATCCCGAAACCATCCTATCATATTAACGACGAGAAATGGATGTTATTGTAGATATCTCGCCCAACATCGCAATCATTGCATTTTACGTAATCGTTTCTGCGAAAGGACAATGGTTGTAGTAACAAAAAACTGCGGTAGTAATAGCTGTAGTAGTAAAGAGAAAAAAAATGGACAAACAGACCCTTTATCAGATTAAATTGCTGATCCGCCGTCAGTGCACCACGGAGAAGGCCGTCACTTTCGAGACGTTTCAACTGCTGACGGATGTCCTCTAATGCGCTCTTAATTTGATCCTGGATGACATCGTAAATGGTCACCTGATATCCTACGCTGGCGAAGAGCATCGCCCAGCTGCGCCCGATTAAGCCGCTGAAATACATATTAAGACAAATATAAAATGATAATCTTATGAAAAGGTACGAAATTTTTGCGATACTCCATTTCAAGTTTGCATTCTCGCGTGATATATTTTACTTATAAAATAGATATTTGTTGTAAGAATCATCATAAATGATCGCAAACGCGTCATTTTGTTAGATATAACTGTAAGAAACGTTGTTTACCGGCACTCCGCGCATTATCTTATCTCCGGATGAGTATAGCTTACGAAAAAGTGCAATTACTTAAGAATTTTGCAATCGCCCTTCTTGTAAAACATCGTTTGATGGCTTGGGAAAAAATCGATGGTACGATAGTAGATTAATAGATTAATAGAATGATAAAGTATCGGACGGTAATGCTGAATGAAATAAAAATTCACTGCTTTTATAGAACGCGCTAATAAATAATTAAAATTGAGAATAACAGTGCCTTTTAATGTATTCTTGAATGTTTTTCTTATTGCTCTTGAGAATACATATCGCGATTAGTAAAAAACACTACAATTTTCCTTTCTAAACTAACAGTCTCTGTGAATCAGCTGTGAAGGTCAAGTTTAACCGTTAAAGAACTACCTTTCTTTTATGTTCTATAAATATAATGTTATATGAATAAGAGTTAATTTTTATAAATAGAGATTTGTGCGGTGATTAGCTGTTTCGATCATTGTTGAAACGACAGTTTCAAGCAACTTTAATTGCACTCTTAGCACAACAATTCTTTTAAAGTAACTTGAAAAACGTTGAGCGATTAAAATGATGAGAGAAAAGCGATTTTCCGAATGATATTATAACCAATCCAATGTAAGGGACTTATAAACTTATCTATGTACGTTGCTAAAAAATAGTAATTGCTTATGCTCAATTACCGTGATTATTTGTTACAATAGATTAGTACCGAGTAATCAATTATCTATAAAAATCGCATTAATCGATGAACGTATTACACAATTATTACAGCTTGCCTGCTTGCAGTTTTATGTGAACAATCCAAATTCTAATTTAAATTACAGTTGATTACTTTACCTTCCAATGATCCCGATTTTTTCATTTTTAGCTGACATTGTTATCGTACGGGTTGATCCGATGTCTGCAGAGAAAGCGTTTCTGCGAGTCGTGTAACGAGTGGAATTTAACTCACGGACAGCTCAAAGGTGTCCAGAGAGATATATATATTTACGCTATCAGTCTCCCCACCATATGTATGCTAATCGAGGCTTGTACGATTATGACATACTGAAGGCGCTATCATAAACACACATTTACTACATCGTTATCTTGTAGAACATCATAGAACGTACATGTGAGCCAGCAGCTAAAAGTAAATTAATCAATCAACAGTCGCGCCTATTTTGTGAAAATTAAATGAATTTATTCCGGATAATTTCTTCCCAGGGTAAAAAAGCTTTCAAGTTCATTAAGCGCAGGATTATTTATGACCTATGTTGGTTAATTAATTAGTTAACAATTATAATTGTTTAATTACAATACGTAAATTAATAAGATTTTTTATTAATTAGAATTAATAAGATAAATTAATAACGTTTAAAAAGTTATTTTAATCCATCTTTTTTACTAACAATAAGATCGAGAATTTAATTGACTTTTAAAATTACGTGTATGATTATATTTCAGAATTTTCCGCTGTTACATAATAATAATTTTTCGTAATCTTTTATTCTTTGTTAAATAATTTTGAATTTTATTTCGATAAGCGTGGAATTTATCTGAGTATATACTATGTTTCAGCGCTTACTGATTAAGATAAGAGAGAAATCGATAGTGATGATGAATTTATGTTTAATATAAAAATTCGCTAAGTTAAAATTTAGTTGAATGAATTTTTCGAATATTCTATCTAATCTTCTATCTAATCTAATCTTTTCTATTCTAAAAATTTTCGAAAGACTATATAGTAAGAACAGGCATGTCAATGCTTGAAAGCGGAGAATAATTATCAAATAAAGATAAAACGAGAGAAAGGACATGTGACAGATAACTTTTTCAATAAGCACTAGTTGCTTTCCATTTACATCAAAACTCAGATAATTCTCACTTGTGACGTCATAACTCAGTTAAATGCACGTTCTTTTTGCATGCTGGCAAGTGAGATTCAACTGAGTTTTTATCCACAATCGAGACCATGTGCTTTAATGAATCTAATAAACTCGCATTAAAAGTGAGGCTAGGGACCTGTATTATTATACGATAGCTTTGTCAACAAAATAAGCAGGTAAATACAAAATGACATATCTTACCTGAGTATTAAATACTCACATAACCGAGTGACTCAGACCACTTGAGTGTAAATAGAAAACAACTACATGTTATTTTTTACTTTAGACTAAGTATACTTATTGTTTCTCTCTTTTTGCTTTAACAAAATCTTTACAATAAGTATTCTTTTAATAAAACTCTGTTTTACTTGTTCAACTTGAATCAGTTGTACTAATATTGGTATTATATATTTTACAGCACGAAGAAAAGATCAAGAGCTCGTACAAAGAATCAAGATGTAATTGACTACACTATTCGGGGTCAACTTCCCACATGAGTGTTTTAACTAATCGTTTATTTTATCTTCTCATAACGATCAATGAAGATAATTCCGGTAATTGAAACTTGGCAACAGGAAATATTGATAACGTGTGGAAATTTACAAGAAACTTCGCAGAAACTAAAACAGAATATCGCAAAAATCGGAATAAAAAGCAGGATCGGAGCGTGGCACGATGAACACAACTGCGTTTCGAAGGAGACTGAAATAAAAGAGAAGATAAATACTGTAATTATACGATTCGTGCAATCAATGAGTCTCGAATAATACTTTATATGCGGTTTTCAGAGCTCATATTCGACGTTGATATTTTGCGAAGTTTCAGGTAATACGCAAAATAAATGTGAGCCAAAATATTAGCTGCGTTTCAAGCGAAAATCAAGCCGTTTACTGGACTCGAGAGAATAGGAGCAGAGATTCCAAAGGATTTCTGAGTTTGTTGGGGTATCGCGCGACCCAGACCACGTCCCTAATCGCGGAAAATCTATGCATGCCGCGATGCAGCGTTGACGCGCGATTGGCCGACGTGCGTTGTGCCGTTTGCCGTTCTCGGGGAAGAACCGCCGGCTATCATCAAGGTTATATATCTTTGACGCATCCGGGAATTAAAGGCAGTTGATTATGCGCGTTTGGTGAGTAATAAGCTCGCGTTATCGCCGCGGCATTGCCGGGACGAGAGTGTCTGACACACGTCCTGACGGCGAGTCCAGTCGAGATCTACAAGTCTCCGGGTGACGACTCAGTGACAGCTCGCGTGACAGGCATCACGAGTATCACCGCACTCTGTCCGGTCCCGCTAATTCGCGAGAAGGGTTATCGTGAGGATAATCGTCCGCAGAGATGCCGGACGCTTACGAGAACATTAATATGGCGATGCGGAGCATGTTGACGACCGGCGTTACCGCGGATAATGAGGACCCGTACTACCAGTTTTACGGTAAAATGCGAGTGCGCGCTCTGGCGCCGCGCGCGCGTTTTGTCCTGCGTCTGCCAAACGTGCCAGACTGCCAGAAGAAACGTTAATTGAACTCTGACTCACCCACAATCGCATTGTTAATACGTCGGTTAATCGTAATCAGTTCCGTCGCTTGTTTCGGCACGCATTCCGGCGCGAGGTTGCGGGACATCTCCGCTTTTTACCGTAATCTCAAAACACACCTGACAGTTGTTTACATGTGACAAGGATTACTTTGATGTAAAAAGAAAACAATCGTGCTCTCCTTGTTTATCTGGCAGATTTTGCAAGTGACACTAGTGACAGTGGGTTTTTGTTTTCTGTTGCTGAACTAGTACAGCCAGTTTAGCAATAGAAAACAGACCTATATTGTTATAATTAGGGCCAGTTCCACAAACGTCAGTTAATTTTTAATTAATTCACTCCTCGTCTTTTCGTAACGTCCTCTTTAGAAAGAGACGAAGAGTGAGTTAACCTAAGATTAAAAGTTAACCGACGTTCGTGGAACTAGACCTAAAGTGTGCAGTGCCACATGGCCTTGAATATCTAAGCATTTTAGAAAATCTTTTGTCGCATCAATATTCCATATTTATATTTTATATTTTAAGATACTTATAAAATATTATGGACGAGAATGACGAGACAGGCACGTTCCAAAAGAATAAGTATTGTTGAGATATTAAAAAGAACTTGTGATGTTTTCGTATTTATGTATTGTGTATTAGTTAAAACGCGTCATATGGGTAGATTATTGTTTCATAATGCTATATATAATGACGTTTTTTTTATACATTATAATATGCTTTTTATACAAGATACATTAATTTTTATGATGTTATACATATGTGCCTTGCATCTTCCAGATTTAACATCAATGGACAGTACAGGTGTACTAAGTCCAATCAGCAGTTCTACATCTCAGGGAAATATGAGCGTTACGTCACCCATGTCGTCGTCCTCATCGCCTATGCATATCACAGATGATTATATTAATCTAACGAATGCAAAAGGTATACATTGCGATTTTAAATTGTCTCATCTAAGACGTAACTTACCCGTCTCTACGTATGCGTCTGAATTATACAAATGCAATATTTAATATTAACTTCTTGTATTTTAATGTTAGTGATAATTGTTTTGCATAGAGAATATAAATGTAACTTTTCTATTTAACTTGGTTAGTGACGATACTTGGCGAGGCATCTCTCAGTATCTTAACCCAGCCAGTGGATAAATTTAGATTTCGATACAAATCCGAAATGGCAGGGACACATGGGAGCCTACTGGGTACATATTACGGACGTAAACGAAATAAAAATACCGTACCTACAGTTAAGGTAAATATGCTGAATTTTGTATTACCAAAATAAAAATTAATATTGGTTGTCTAAACTAATTTCTCTTCATACATAAATGATATTATTATTATTATTTGTATTTTTAGTTAAATAATTTTCTGGATAAAGCGACAATACGTTGCACATTGGTTACAACTGATGAAGATCTCAGGATACCGCATGCTCATAGATTAGTGAGGCGAGTTGACGGTACGGATAAAGGGGATCCACATTATATAGAAGTTTCGCCTGAAAATGATTTTACAGCAGAGTACGTCTACATCTTCTAGCATTGCATAATTTCAAACATAATTTTTCTGTTTTATTCTTTAGTTAGCGTTATACATACTCCTATTTCAGATTTATTGGTATGGGTATCATACATACGGCGAGAAGACACATTAAGGACGAAATACTACGAAAACTGCGTGAGGAAGTTCTGGAGGAGCGCAAACGTTCAAATATAAACGCTACTCTCAGTTTACGCGACGACGCTCAGGTAGATTTTAATGCTGCTATATTTTTATTTTTTTTACTTAAAACAAATTAAATTGAATACGCTCTTCAAAACGTATCTTACAATGATTACAGATTAGAGCCGACGTAGAACAGTATCAGAAAGTTATAAACTTAAACAGTGTTGCTCTTTGTTTCCAAGGATTTATCAAAGATGTACATAATATTATGAGACCGATTACAGCACCGGTTTATAGCAACCCAATCAATAATTTGAGTAAGTTTAAATAATTTATTGATAAAGTTTTTAAAGAAAAGTATATCAAGGTTCTGACTTTATACTTTTGTACTATATATAGTACACGCTTACTGACGAAAGTTATAAGTTATATAATTTTTCTTTTTAACGTATATATTTTAGGAAATAAAAAATATATAATTTTCTTAAAAAACACTTTTGTTTCCTAATTCCTAACTTTTGTCAGTAAATGTATGAACAATAAAAAGTCATTTTCATCGACTAAAGAAACCCTAATGTTATTTTAACAGAAAGTGCATTAACTGGAGAACTTAAGATATGCAGAATTGACAAATTTACTAGCAGCTGTGAAGGTGGTGAAGAGGTGTTCATACTTGTGGAGAAAGTTTCAAAAAGTAAGTGTTGCTGACTTAGCATTAGATAAATATGCCTTGCCCATAAACAATGTACGTTGTATGTACGTACATATTGATGAAAAATACGCATTATATTACAGAAAACATAAAGATAAAATTCTTTGAGATCGACGAAGACGACACTGAAACCTGGATCGATTATGGTCGTTTCTCGGAACTGGATGTACATCATCAATATGCCGTGGCATTTCGGTACGTATTACATGTGATTTAGCAACTTATATATATATATATATATATATATATATATATATATATATAAGTATTCTTAAATTAACTTAAATATTTTTCCGTCCTTACACAACGTATATGATTGATCGTGCTGTATTTCTAGAACTCCACCGTACAAGGATCGAAGTATCACTTCTCCAAGGGAAGTCTTCATACAGCTAGAACGTCCTTCAGATGCAGCTTGTTCAGAACCAATCAAGTTCACGTATAAGCCGAGTGACCGCATATTAGGTGAGTTGATAGTAAAGTTAAATATTCTTAGTTATGATTTATTATGTTTTTCCTTTTTATCTCTTTTGTTTTGCCTTTTTCTCCTATATTTTTTTAAATTTAATTTCTCAAAATTTTTGCAATTCTAGGTAGGAAGAGAACGCGAGTCTCTCATTCAAATAGCGCGGAATTGGCGCAAGCGACATTTAACAATGATATGTTTTTAACGAATCCACTAACAAATACGTCCTCAAACAACGAAAGCAATGAAATGTCTAAAGAACTAAAAAAGATGTTAGATGACAGATGTTCTTCTAGTGAGTTCCGCGAGTTTGTCGAACATATAAATTCAGATGGTAAGTGCCCTTTTATGCGAACAAAAAAGCTTATTTAAAAATCATAATATATAAAAAACTTATTATTGTTCAAATTAGATCTCATGTTGTACGAGAAATTGTTACAAAGCGAAGAGAAGTTAACTTATGATAGTGCGCCGAATAAAAAGGCAAGTATTAGTTTCATTGTATGTGTCTTAAAAACAAATTTATTTATAGCAATTCATTATAGCAATCTCTATTGCTGTTGCATCATTATTGTATGTTAATCAAATTTGTATTTTATGTTTTTACAGGACGACAAATTGTTTGCGAAAGACATTATTATCGAGATGATGCAGAATATCAGAATGAAGCCAAATAAAGTGAAAGATATTATTAAAAACTCGCTTAAAGACAGAACAACTTACGGAGATACGCCATTGCACTGTGCGCTCCGATATGGACAAAAGGATAATGTAAAACGAATCTTAATGTTTTTGAGCACTCTACATTCAGATGCTGAAGAGTTAGTGAATATTCAAAACAGTTCTGGAAAGGTAAATTTTTTCGATATTATTATACTCTATTTTTTATTTAATTATAACAATTTCAATGTATCACATTATATTATAGAGTCCGCTGCATTATGCTATCTCGCAAGATCAACCGGAAGTTACAAGAGCATTACTCATGCTTGGTGCAGATCCAAATATAACTGATCATTACGGACAAATGCCGTTACACAGAGCTGTAAAGTGTATGTATTAATTTAAGGGTATTTAAAACAAATGTGATGAATTAATATGAATATTTGACGAAATATTTCGGTTCAATAGTAGAGATAAAACGTAACAGTTGCGTAACAAATAATACATAATAATTTTATCTTATTTATACATTTACATAGAGTTATAATTTTAGTTCCAGAAGCGGAAGGAAACATTGATGTTTTATTACGTGAAAAAGACGTCAACATCGAAGCAAATACGGATTTAGGATGGACACCTTTGCAATTAGCTGCCAAAGCGGGCTCTTATCATGCAGTGCGTGCTCTCGTGAAAGCTGGCGCAGACGTAAATAGTGCTGACATGACCTACGGAAGAACTGCCTTACATATAGCAGTCGAAGGAGGCCATAAACACATTGTCGAGTACCTGTTAAGACACGTAGGATTGAATATTAATTGAAAATGCATCTTTTTTTTATATATAAAAAATCGTGTTATACTAATACTCTTAATTCTCCAAGCAGACCAAAATAGACGTAAACATGAGGAACTTTAGTGGAAATACGGCGCTACACACCGCAATAGTTATACCAGGAACGAATGCCAAAGAGATATGTGCCCTTTTATTGACATACGGCGCTGATCCGCACTTACGGAATTTTGATCGTGAATCGTGTACCGTACGTATAATTGCTTACTGTTAGTATCTTGTGTTGTCAATTTTTCTTAAACTTGATTGTTTTTATGATAGATTGAGGAGGAGCCGTTGGAAGATATAAAAACCGAAGTACAGTCGGAAGATGAAAATATAGAAGAATGCACCGGGCAATCATCTTTTGACTTGGCCTCAAACATGCCAGATGTACGGAAAACATTTCATGTATCTTGTAAAATACATTTATCAATTTTATCATTTATCTTATCTGTTATCATTATCAATAGAAACGTATTTATCATTAAGAAAAAATGCGTTGTTGCAGATCTTGAAACTCGTTTCTGGTCAAAATGACATATTAGTAGACGACACAATTAAAGAGGAAAATATAGACGACACGCAGAAAGTGTGGATGGATTCAGAGGAGGAAAAGCAATTAGCAAGCATTCTGGACGTGACAAAGGGATGGAGAAAATTGGCGCAGCATTTTAACTTCGAGTACTTACTGAATATTTGTGAACAGAGCTCATCATCTAATTCGACGTTGCTCCTCTTGAATTTTATTGCTGTAAGATTTTCATTTTCTCATCGAATATTTCGCGCGTTTTTTTGCATTCTTTCGAACGTATGTTCTCATCGACATAAATCATTGAACTGTGTAATTTTTACTTCTTTGTAGATACAAACCAATACATCTCTCAGCGAATTGCGAGATGTATTACAGAATATAGGCGAAGAAGTTGCTGCGGCATACATGGATGAAGTTTTAGCTGTGAAACGTGAAACTTGAGTCGCGTACTTTTAACCTGATCACATATTGAATCATTTTGTGTGTACAGTTACATAGTTTATATAATACCATTGTAAATTAAGCTGCGAAATTACAATTATAAAAATTGCAAAATGCCATTGTAAAAATTGCATTTTAATAAAATTTTTGCATTTAAGTATTTTTATTATTAAAAAGATACCTGTTCAAGTTTTATAATAATTATATTTACAAATTTACATGATACATGGGGTCTGTTTTCTGTTACTGAACTGGCTGCACTAGTTCAGAGTTTATCTTTTTTACTCCACATTGGAAGGAAAAAGATAAACTCTGAACTAGTGCAGCCAGTTCAGTATAACAGATCAATAATACAATCAAGTACAAGAAAAAGATGATTGTTATTTCTCTACTACTTAAAAGACGCTAGCTTCTCTTATAGGTTCCGACTTTAAGAATCTGTCGAAACTCAGTTTGGATAAATCTATAGTCAGAAAACGTTCATGAAAAATCAGCTCTGATATCGCACGTCCCACTGCTGGTGCCTTCTGAATGCCATGTCCGCTAAAACCAGTCGCTATGTATACATGGTGATGAAAAGGATGCTGACCGATAATACCGTTTTCGTCGAAAGTATTGTATTCGTAGTATCCAGCCCATGAAGATTTCACCTGATACATAATGATAGAATATACATCATCAGAAAAAGAAGCAATTATAATTTCAACATTTTTACAGAATTATAAGTATTTTATGTCAATAATGAAAAGTATACGTACCTTCAAGTTTTCAAATCTCGGTACTCTGTGAGCGAGTAAAGGCCACACTCTATTGTCGAAAAATTCGTGATCGACATCCAAGTTCTCGATCGACGGCTCTTCGTTTGATTCTGGTGATTTTCCACAGATATAATTACCTCCTAAACCATCCCGTCTGGAAGTTATTTCATTTACATTTTATAAAAATTGTATTATAATAATTTATATTCGTTTACTTTTATTAAGTCTTTATTTGTAAAAGAATATATGTTACATCTCAGAAGTATTTAGACTCATACCTGAAATATGCACCACTGGAGTCAATCGTTAAAGGTGTGTTTAAACCAGGTCCGTCAGGACAATGAAAACAATATACATATCTCTTTCTGTAAGAAAAAACCATTCGATAATAATAAAGATACAGAGGCAAAAAGTAACAAAAATCGATTTTTTCCGCATTAATAAAATTACCTAGGTACAACTGGTAA